TTGTTGTTTGTTAAGTGCCATTGAGTCACTTCTGATTCACAGTGACCCTTCATAGGGTTTCCAATGAGTGACTAGTGGGCTTGAACCAAGGGTCCTGTGTTTATCCTACAGTGCCACAACAGGACTCCATAAATATTCTCAGACCATGATATGTTCAACTTTAGATAGAAAAAGTGTCCTTCGGCTGATACATTGTTGGCATCAAAAAGTCATTCCAGGAACCATTCCCAAAGGTTGATGGCAAGCAATCTATTCCCCTGCTTTAAGTAGAAGGAAGAGATTTTGGAAAGGTTTGGGCAACATCTTCCAACAGCCCTGAGGATTCTCTTCTATAAGGAGAGAAAACGTTGCTACACAGTATGACGCAACTGCAAATTCCTGTGTCTCTTTCCTCCTCTTGGGAAAGCTTTTTCTCCACTTTGGCAGCGACAGCCTTGTCTGCCTCTGCTTAGGCCAGAAGCCAGGAGCAGCTGGTTAAATACAACGTACTGATGATACAAAGCGCGTAATGCTTCTTAAGTTAAAACGATCCACTTAGCAGAACTCCTGGAGCTTTAGATACAAACTGACTCTGCCACAAAGCTCATCATTGAAAGATTTAAAGACAATGATGGCCATGCTCAGCCCAGAAGGCCTTAAGGGAGTCCAAAGTGATGACAGCACACCCACATTCCTTGTATTTGTCTATTGGAGAGGTGCGGAAGAGGTCAGAAAGATGCAGCGAGAGTACAGAGAGTCATCATTCACTGACACTGTGGGCAGCTACTGGGCCCAGACTTTTCATGACTACATGTCATCCAATCACTGTCATCATCTTCCTGTGCAGACACAATCACTTAACACTTTATATACAAGCAAAAAGAGCCTGAGGGATGTTAGCCGGTCACACAATAGGTGTGAAACCCATCTCGGGATTTATTGACTCCGAAGTTCTGTTTTCTACCAGAACTTTAATTTCCCACATGCTTTCCATATCTGTTTCAGACTCACAGCAGAGATAAATACAACCCATCAATTTCAGTTACCAGAAACCTGAAACATATTGAGGTTATATAAACCTGAGACAGTTTCACAGGTAATCTGCACATTCTTGTTCCATGGCTAAACTAACTTTATTACTCTCAATGACTAACAATGAAAGTTATCAACACCAGCCTATCTTTACAACTCAGTATTATATGCTGTCATGAGAGTAGCGCTCACCTTTGGATACGTCCACTGGACACTATAGACTGAGCCTTAAACTCTATAGAGAGTGTCCACACACGGATGGGCAGGAAAGCTCACACACACTTTGACTATACAGGGGATAGGCCTTTACCAAAGGAAAACGTCCTTTACAACATGTCTGAGAATACTAAGATGAACTCTGAAATACACTCGTAAATGCACAGATATGTTAATATAAATGAATAGATCTCAGTCTCCGATCAGCACTTCAGTCATGGTTTATGAACGTTTCCCAAAATTGCTATAGCATTTTAAAATCAGCATTGCTTAACAAGAGAGACTTGTGCAGGATTTTTTATTGTTAGATGCTGTCCTGTCAGTTTGGCCTCACAGCAAATCAATGTCCAACAGACAGAAGCACAGCTAGACCTGCACCAACCTCACAATTGTTGTGTTTGAGCCCATTGATGCTGCCGCTGCACAAATCCATCTCTTTTGAGGCGGCTTCCTCTTTTTCATCAATATTCCACTTTACCAAGCAGTTTGTGCAACAGTGGAATTAACTAGATATAAGAGACCAGCTGGTTCTCAAAGCCTAAAGTAGTCACTCTTTGGCTTTTTAAAATAGAGTTTGCCAATCCCCGGCTTGTAAAATAAATAACTCTATTAAAAGAAAAAGAAAAACGAAAAAAAAAGTCAATACAATCGAGTCAATTCCAACTCTCAGTTGCTTTCCATGGCTGTAAATTTTTACGGAAGAAGAAAACCTCATCTTTGTCCCACAAAGCCGCTGGTGGGTTTGAACTGCTAACCTTGTGGTTCGCAGTCCAGTGCCTATTCTATAGCACCACCAGGGTCCCTTTTTAAAGAAAGAGCAGCATTATAAAACCATCTAAATCATCCCGATTTTCTTATTTATGAAAGCTGAGTTTGCGAACTTTCTGGAGGACTAACTCATTTCAGACAGGCTAAGTATTTACTTTTGTGGTTCTCATCCCTTACAAAGGAGTTTTGTAAAGTAACAATGATTTATAATGTATCGATCACCACCCAGTTTATCTCATAACATATTAACTCATCTTTGTTATGCCATTAGGGGTTATTTGATTAACTGACGATCTTAAATGTTTTGCTCACCCAGAGCTATAAAACCTGGAGGGTCTCTTTACTATGTGTGTGTGTGTATATGTGTGTGTGTGTGCTTTGAATTAGAAATCTTCCAGATAATCTGCAAACATGAGTAACTATGACAATATTCTCGAGTTTCTAAACACCTTTAAGTGTGTAAGAGTTTTTTGTGTGAAATTGTGCCAAGGCAGGTATTCATTAAAACTCGGGAGTAAACTTCAGACTTTTGGGAGTCCCCTAGAGCGCTGGTGGCGCAATGGGGTAACTTTTGTGCTGCTAACCAAAAGGTTGGTGATTTGAACCCCAGTAACTCCACGGGAAAAGGTGAGGCAGTCTGCTTCGGTAATGATTTATAGACTTGGAAGCCCTATGGGGCATTTCTACTCTGTCTTTATAAGTTGTTGTTGTTGTTGTTAGGTGCCATCAAGTTGGTACCAACTCCTAGTAGTCCTATGCACAACAGATTGAAACACTGTCCGGTCTTAAGTCAACCTCACAATTGTTGCCACACTTGAGCCTGTTGATGCTGCCACTTTGCCACTCCATCTCGCTGGGGGTCTTTCTCTTTATCTCTGACCCTCCACCTTACCAAACATGATATCCTTTTCCAGCAACTGGTCCCACCTGACAATATGTCCCAAGTAAGAGAGACAAAGTTTGGCCATCCTGGCCTCCAAGGAGCACTCTGCCTGCACTTCTAACAACACAGATCTATTGGTTCTTTTGTCAGTCCATGGTACTTTCAATATTCTCCTCCAACACCATAACTCAAATGCATCAATTTTTCTACGATCTTCCTTATTCACTGTCCAGCTTTCGCATGCATTTGAGGTGATTGAAAATACCACGGCTTGGGTCAGGCGCACCTTAGTCCTCAAGCTGACATCTTGGAATTCATAGACTTGATGTCTGGAGATCTGGTTTCGTTCTGGGACTTCTGTAAACGCTACATCATGAAACGAGTACACAATGTCATCATAACAATTTTATGTTTTGCAAATGCCTGCTATATATGTTATCTTTTAATTTTCTGAACTTTGAACAATTTTTTCTCTGTTAAGACTTTAATAATTGTGATAAATTATCATTATGTAATAAGCAAAAAATCAATGACTATGCTTGATTTAGATCGGATGTACAATTAACTTCAGGTAAAATAAACCCCCTTTCTGCTTTATATTTTTTTAGAAAGAACACTCAATCTTTCATTTTATTATTTTCATACTTGGAAAAATAACATGTGTATTGATTTGTTCATTTAGCAGAGTATATTAAAGATAACATGAGTATTGATTTTTCCATTTAGCAGTTAGTAGGTTCAAGATAATAACAATTTTACTGTTAGTCATGGCTTCAAAAGATGAACAGGTTCACCTTTGCTTATTTATACAACCATAAAGTGAGTGCATTTCAAGAGGCAAATGGGAGTGAAATTTATGGTTTGTATTCTCGCAAATTAATAAATGGTTTCAGCAGTACAGGGAGCGGCCAGAAATTCAAGAAGGACTCAGAAGAAGGCCTGGAACAAGGGATATCACTACTGACGTCAAATTGATCTTGACTGAAAGCAGTGAATACCAGAAGATATATGCTTGTGCTTTATTGACTTTCGACTGTGTCATAAAAATCTATGGACAACATTGCAAAGAATGAATAGTTCAGGACACTAAATTGTGCTAATAAAGAACCTGTATTTACACCAAAAGGCCAAAGTACAAGGGGATATTGAATGGTTTAAAATCAAGAAAAGTGTGAGCCAGGGTTATATTCTTTCATCATACTTATTAAATCTTTTACTTACCGAGAAAATAATGTGAGAAGTTGGTTTATACGAAGAAGAACATGCTATTAGGATTGGAGGAAGATTAACTACCTGCTATATGTAGATGACACAACCTTGCTTGCTGGAAGTGAAAAGGACTTAAAATACTTACTGATGGAAATCAAAGTCTACAACCTTCAGTATATACTGCACCTTAATGTGAAGACAACAAAAATCCTCATAGCTGGACCAATACATAACACCATTGTAAACAGAGAAAATAGTTAAAGTTGTCAAAGACTTCATTTTGCTTGGATCCACAATCAACACTCATGCAGGCTACAGTCAAGAGATCAAATCTGCTGCACAAGACCTCTTTAAAGTGTTCCAGAGCAAAGATATCAGTGTGAGGACTAAGGTGCGACTGACCAGAAGTCATTTCATTTTCCATTGCCCATATGCATGTGAAAGTTGGGCAGTGAATAAGGAAGACCGTAGAAGAATTGATGCATTTGAGTCATGGTGTTCATGAAGACTACTGAAAGTACCATGGATTGCTAGAAGGACAAACCAATCTGTCTTGGAAGAAGTACAGCTAGAAAGTTCCTTAGAAGCCAGAAGGCTGAGACTTCATTTCTCATCTTTGGACATGTTATCAGGAGGACAAGGACATCCTTCTTGGTAAAGTGGCGGGTACGTGAAAAAGAGGAAGACCTCCCATGAGATGGACTGATACAGTAGCAGCAAGAACAGGCTCAGACATCACAAGGATTATGAGGATGGTGACAGACGGGACAGTGTTTCCACTAAGAGAGTGAGAACCAACCTGATGGCACCTAACAATAAAAATTTCTGCAAAATCCCCTGCTTTTTAAGCAATATTGATTTTTAAATGCTACAGCAATTCTGGACATCTTTCTAGAACCATGGCCAAGGTACTTAGTACAGACAAAGATCTTTTCTTGATTATTAGCATTTCTGTGCATTTATAAGTATGTTTCAGAGTTCAATTTAGTATTCTCAGACAGATTGTAAAGAACACGATTCCCTTTTGAAAGGCTTCTCCTGCATATCCCGTATATAGCCAAAGATCATAAAAATACACCTTGTATGAGCCTCCCTACCCATCTGTGTGCTGTGGACATTCTCTAGAGACTGAGGCTCGGTCGATAAAGTGCCTACTGTGTTGTTGCTGTTGCTAAGTGGCATCTAACCTGTTCCAAATCATAGCAACCCTGCATAGGATTTCCAAGGAGTGGCTAGTGGGTTTGAACTGCCAACCTTGCGGTATGCAGTTCAGCGCTTATTCTATAGAGACACAATTTGGTATTATACTCTTGTGGCATTACATAATATTGAGTCATGAAACTAAGCTGGTCTTGATAACTTTCATTACTATTCATTGAGGGCAATAAAGTCAGTTTAGCCACGAAACAAGGAAGTTCAGACTCTTTGTCACAAGAACTTCAGGTTCTTGTCCACTGAAATTTAAGGGTTGTATCTTCTGCACAATACCTTCTTAAAGCGTTGAACAGCAAAGATGTCAGCTTGAGGACTAAGGTGTCCCTGACCCAAGCCATGGTGTTTTCAATAACCGCATATGCATGTGAAAGCTGGACAGTGAATAAGGAAGATCATAGAAGAATTGAGGCATTTGAGTTATGGTGTTGAAGGAGAATATTGAAAGTGCCATGGGCTGCCAAAAGAACCAACAGATCTGTGTTGGAAGAAGTACAGCCAGGGTGTTCCTTGGAGACCAGGATGACCAAGCTTCGTCTCTCATACTTTGGACATATTGTCAGGAGGGACCAGTTACTGGAGAAGGATATCATGTTTGGTAAGGTGTTGGGTCAGAGAAAAAGAGGAAGACCCCCAGCGAGATGGACTGGCAAAGTGGCAGCATCAGTGGGCTCAAGTGTGGCGACTATTGTGAGCAGTGTTTCATTCTGTTGTGCATAGGGTCGCTATGAGTCGGTACCTAACAACAACAACTTCCGTCTCTGCTATCAGCCTGAAACAGATGTGAAAGACTAAGGAGACTGCAGATGGAAGAGTTTGAAATTGTTGTCGTAGTTCTCTAGCTCTGCTGTAACAGAGTTATCACAAGTGGACGCCTTTAACAAACAGAAATGGATTTTAGCACCATTTGAGAGACCAGAAGGCCAAATTCAGAGTGCTGGCTCTGGAGAATGGCCTTGGTCTGCTATTAGCCTCGGTAGGCTCAGCATTCCTTTGAGTTCTTCATTGATCTTGGCACCAATCTCTCCTTGGATGGAGGTGCTTCCCAGTGCAAAGGTCTCACTCCATTCCTGGCTATTTTATCTTGGTGGAAGCCTCTGCTTTCCTGTTTCATCTCTTACATATTTTAAAAGAGATTGACTCAAGATACAGCCTAACCCTGTAAATTACATTCACATCGTTGTTGTTGTTAAGTGCTGTGGAGTTGGTTCTGACTCAGAGCAACCCTGTATAGGGTTTCCAAGGAGGAGTGGTTGGTGGGTTTGAACTGCCAACCTTGTGGTTAGCAATCCAGTTCTTATGCACCACACCAGGACTCCCACTAACAGCATAGAAATGTGGAAGTACAGACACTTGGTGATGACCTTAGATCAGGGCTGACCACCTCAGAGCACATCATGGGGGGGGCGGGGCATGATTGCATTAAACCCGATTTCATCATGGGAAATTGGAGCCCTGATGGCACTGTAGGATAAGCACTAGACTACTAACCACAAGGTCAGCAGTTCAAACCCACCAGCCACTCCTCAGAAACCCTAAACAGGATTGCTGTGAGTTGGAATCAACTCAACAGCACTTAACAACAACATGTGGAATTATGACATCTTCACTGCTGAACTTCTAAGAATCCTGACCAGTTGCGTTGACAGAAAACCTTAACAGTTGTTATCTGGAATGCCTACTCCCCTTAATCTTTATGGTTGAAATTTGATTAGCAAGGTTCACAGGTTCAGATACATTGCCAGATTTCCTTTTTGTTCTCTGAGTCGGGAGGTAAGAAGGCCCAGATGGCAGCTCTTTCATCTGATGAAAGTAACTGTACTCATTTTTTTTCCCTGTTAATATCATTCCCAGGCCATTCCAGCAACAACAATGTCCTTGTCAGCAAGAAAGAGAGGATGCTGCAACAACAAAACAGGGGTGAGTATGAAGCTTTCAGACACTTAGCAACATCCACGCAAGAGTCACCCTGAAACATCTGCATCCACGGAAAGACAGTGGGGCCCCAGAGGCAGAGCCAGAGTCTCAGAAATGCACTGCTGTCCGGGACAATCAGAGGATAACGGGGAAAGTGAAGAGATTCTCTTTTTAACTTTTCCCAGAAAAATTGAGGTTGTCAGGAGCCTTTAGTTCCTTTCTCCATCTTCAACATCACAAACCTCTGGGCTTTTAAAGCAAGGGGACTCACAGGTCACCGGCAGAAATGACAAGCTCACAATATTCAGAATATTGCTACATTTTGTACTGTGTCTAAAACACGTGAGCAGAGTGTTCTTTCATGGGTATGAGAGAGGAGTTTATCAGGGTCAGAATGAGAATTGTCCTCATCCAGCTAACTTGAAGGAAAGGTAGGTTATTTATCAAACATTTAGTGCAATATTTCAAAAAATTAAAAAGTAAAAAACACCTCCCCCCAAAGAAAACCCACTGCTGTTGTGTCGATTCTGACTCAAGATGACCCCACGGATTATAGAGCAGAGCTACTCTATAGGGTTTTACTGGGTGATGCTTTGGGTTAGGCATTGGGCTACTAAACATAAAGTCCCAAGTTCAAAACCAGTAGTCACTTCTTGGGAGAGGGCTGAGGCTCTCTGCTCACACTAAAATTTAGTCTCAGAAACCCTACGTAGGATCACCATGGGTCAGAATCAACTTGGTGGCAGTGGGTTTGGTTTTTTGGTTTGAAGACGATTGCCAAGATTTTCTTCCAAGGTGTCATGGGAGGAGGGCAAACTGCCTGAGGACCTTAGGCCAATACTAATTATGCACAAAGTCAGAAGGTAAGGAAATGAACATTGATTGACCACCTGTGCGTTGTAGGATAAGCACAGGACCGTAAGGTCTGTTTGAACCTCAAGGTCGGCAGTTTGAACTCACTGGCTGCTAAGGCACTTAACAAACTACAGCAGGCATCATTTGCTCAATCTGCTTGCAATTATGCCAGTTTATTTCTTTTCAAGTTTCTTGAGAGAGGAATATGACAAAGAAATGAATACTCAGAGATAGCACAGCACTCTAGTGCCACTCAGCTGGGCAGTGGGTTTCTACACAGATCGGTCACCCAGCTGTCCCACGCCAGGGGACACCGATCACTTACAGAGTCAGGCCAAGCTCAGATGAAAGACTTAGACATCAAGCGAGCAGGCATCACACTGTGGGTGGTGAAGATCCAGCCAAAGTTCTATGGAGCGGGAGGTCTGCCGACTATGGTGGAACCTCCAGGCTCCAGAGGTGTTGAGAAGGACATACGAAAATGTCAGTTTTTTGGACACCAAGCAGTAAGTCCAGCTCTTCCAACAAGTCCAGTCATATGGCCGAGACCTTTGGTCTTTGTCTCCTTTCATTCAGCCCTAAGCAGACAGTGACCTTAAGGGCTCGGACTACAGGGTGACTGATTCAAAGCGTTGCAGAACCTAGTAGCAACAGAATGTGGGCCAAGGGCTCTCCTTTGTCTTTCAGATGTTTCTTTCGTCCCTCACCAACGCCCTCACCATCATCGGAGCTGCATACTGCTTGACCGTGTCTGTCCAGGCGCTTATGGTAGGACCTCTCATTTGTAACCCTCAAGTCAACGGCACGGTCAATTGCCAATTTTCACTGAAAAGTTTAAGGTGAGTGATCGTATCTGTTCACACCGCTTCCAACAGTGAGGCGGGGCACAGTGCCACACGTGTGTTGGGCTCCTAGGCCTTCAGGACATGGGTCCTGATGTGTAGAATCTCAAATGGGAATGGTACCGTCAGCACAGTCAGCATGCCCTAGGTATGGATTACATGGTCTTTCAAACATCTATATTTATACAGCCCAAACTAGATGGGTCAGCCTTCGTTGCCCAGTTCTCACAAGTTTTTCACCACTTTTGCTTTTTTATTGCTATTAGTGGAAAATTATTTCCATTTACCTTCTCTGATAGGTTGCTGCCTTACACAGGTTCCAGCTTTCACAAGTTTTTACAAAATGTGTGTGTGTGTATAAAAAGAGTTTCCAGAAACATATAGCAGAAATTAAACTTTTGCTCTTGGAGATGGTAATGAGAATACTCTGGGGGAGCGGAAGTTACATTGATGGTCTACACTTTGGAACTAATTACATTTGTAAACCAGGAACTTATATTACCTTCATAGTAGTAAAAACAAAACAAAAACACCCTCAATAAGTAAAATCAAGAACCTTACCTACTTTCTCTAAAAGAAAACAAACCAAAGAATTCATCACAGGCATACTATAAATGCCCTGTGGGTATGGCACTATGAATCAGACATGAAAGTCATGAGTTAACAAACAACGTTGATCACTGAGCAATTACAACACAGAGAGTCGGAGCATTTCAGACATCAGACTCATACTGCAGGGGCTGAGAAGCCCATTGTGCTTGTCAGGCGGGTATTCAGAAGAGCAAAGTCTCCAAGAACACATAGTGATGAACTAAAGAGAAATCACCTGGGGACAGATGAGCTAAGGCTACAAGTTTCTCAGTTCCCTCAGTAAGGAGCTCTGGTAGCATAGAGGTTACGAATTGGGCCACGACCCACCAGGTCACCAATTCGAAACTACCAGCTGTTCCGCAGGAGAAAGATGAGGCTTTCTGCCTAGGAAATCCTGAGCCTATCTTTATACAGGGTCGCTATGGGTTGGAACCGACTCAATGGTCTAAGAGCAGAGGCAGTTGTGATGCACAATCACTATAACTCCGTGCTTGGATAAGCTCCTTACAACAAGGAACCTTTCTCACCGCCAGCAAGTCTACGCATGCCCCTAATCACACAGTTTGAACCACATGAAAGTGCTGCTACTCAACCATTTTAACCTAAAAACCGGTAATTTCATACAGTTCAACCTAAGACCTGGTACTAAAAATGCTTGTCCAACGATGGCTTATACAGTAAAGCCTGTTAAAACTGGGACCTGTATAAGACAGAAACCTGTCAGACAGGAAAACTCAAATGTCTTTCCACTAAAAGGAGCTAAAGAAACAGGGTACGAATGCACTGTCAAAGGCGGAAAACTTTCCAGACCTGGAAAACAAGGCTGTCCCATTGGTCATCTCTCTGCATTGCCTCCCTTCATGATGAACGAAGTTTTATAACTGTTCGGATTTACTGACCCATGCACAGGAATAAGGGTGTTAGCTATGGTTTCTGGATATAACATTTCAGGCACTTTTATTTGTTTTAAATCCATGAAAGAAAGTGTGTCCCTGAGACTGCAAATGTGTGCATTCCTCTTTTTTGACTATTTTTATTTTATTTAAATATGTTATTCCAGTTGCTCTGAAGGAGTTGCCAACGTCACATGGATTATAGTAAAGGAAGGACTTTATTGTGCCGACACGTGGCTCAGCGGATTCTTATCCAGAGACTGAGCCCCATTTATAGGAAGGACCCTAGTTTATATAGTGTTTGGGTCTTTGGGACATTATAGGATGAACAAAGGGGGTATGTGTAAGGCTGGTATTTGCTACTTCATACGGTGGGGAGGGAGCAGCGAGCAGGTGGGAGTTTACAAAAGCAGAAGCAAGTAAGTTTTAACCATGGGGGCTTTGTTATTTCCAAGAGGCAAATCTTCAACAGGAGGAAGTTAGCTGTGAGAAACACATGGGGATGAGGAGTTCTGTTGTTCAGCAACCGGAATGTAGACTCTGTCCTTGGAATGAGATGTGTACTCTGGAAGCTGGGACCCAGTGCCTACCTCAAATACATTTAAATTACCGCTCTGCACCATACACACTAACTGTAATAGTAATAGCAACCCTGTGTAGCGTTTCTAAAGCTTTAAATCTTTGAGGGAACGAAAGTTTCATCTTTCTCCCGCGGAGTGGCTCTAATCATGGACCTTGTGGTTTGCAGCCCAGTGTTTATTGTATGGAGCCACCTCTGACCCTACGCATTTGCCATATTTAAGTGCTGTCAAGTCGGTTCTGACCCATAAGCGACCCCGCATAGGGTTTCTGAGGAATGGCCGATGAGCTTGAACTACCAACCTTGCGGTTCAAACAGCTTTGCAGTCCAGTGTATTAACCCACAGCGCCACCCCAGGACTCCTCTGCCCTTATACAATCTTCAGGATGACTGAACAGGAAAGAAAAACAGAAGGACTTAACTGAGAACTATGGCAGAACATCTTGCCAGGAGCAATGATGTAGTTGTTACTGTTAAGTACGGTGGAGCCCAACTCACAGCCACCCTGGATAGGGTTTCTGAGGCTGTAAATCTTTAAAGCATCTTTCTCCCATGGAGGAGTTGGCGGGTTTGAGCTGCTGGCCTTGTGGTTAACAGTCCAGTGCTTATCCTACAGCACCATCAGTGTTCCCTAATGAAGATTGGTGTTGTTGAGTGCTATAGAGTCGGTTCCGACCCATAGTGACCCTATATAGGGCTTCTGAGGAGCAGCTGGTGAGCTTGAACAACCAACTGTGCAGTTCAAATCGACTTTGCAGTCCAATGTATTAACCCACAGCACCACACCAGGACTCCCCCTAATGAAGGTAGACGCTAAAAATCAAATGCAGAATTCAGAGGCAACAAAATGTCTTCTCATTTAACCAGGCGAGTGGATTTTGCAATTACCAGTGGCATTAAATGTACCAAATAAAGCTTTAAAAATTTGACACTGTAAGGGGCCACCTTTAGGTTTCCCATGCATAAGTTTTTAAGTTTTCTTAACTTTACTTTGTAAAACATAACACAAGCAAGGTGTTAAAAACGGTTGTAACAGCTCAACAAGTTGTTGCTGGAGATTTTGGAAGCAATGAGTTGAGTTCTGACTCACAGCAACCCTGTAGACTGCTTCTGAGACTGTAAATCTTCACAGTCTTCTCCCATAGAGCAACCGGTGGGCTTAAGCTGCTGACCTCGTTCATGGTCAACAGACCAGTGCTTATGCTACCGAGCCACTGAGCCACCCTTCACCCAAATCTCCCCAACTTGGGTTAATGATGTACTTTGTGGATATGATCAGTTAATGATGCTACTTTGAGGGATCTTCCGTCAACAAGTCCCATCGTGGTATTAGGTGCCCTTGACGAAGACCTGTCAGGTGAGGGGTACTGGCATCATCAAGCAATTGACTGGCTGACTGATACATCAGGTCATGGAACTGCAACATCCGGGGAACCTTCGCAGACTTGCTTGGCCACAGTGCTTCAAAAGCACGTCTTCTTTGATCATACTTGTTCTTTTCTGGGTCTAACGTTGTGGTCTTTGGGTGGTCAGTGGTCTCAGTGACCTTCTTTTTTCCTTTCTTTTTCAGTGACATTGATGATGATGACTCCTTGGATTGGTTTCTGAGCGACTCTTGTATATCTTCCAAGGCTCCTGGTAACTCCACCGCTGGTACTACAACCAATAGCTGGAAACCACCTAACCTGGACATCAGTTCGAAAGAAAACAAATACAGGACCATCCACTTCTCAGTGTTTCTAGGCCTGCTACTTGTTGGGATTCTGGAATTGCTAGTTGCACTCAGTCAAATAGTCATTGGTTTCCTGGGCTGTCTGTGTGGTGTCTCTAAGCGGAGAAGTCGAGTTGTATAGTTGCAATGGTAATAAAATGGAATGATGAGTTGTTTGAGAACTGCATTTAAAATATTCTCAGAAATACAATAATGGAATCTTATCAAGAAAGCTGTATGAGTCATTTTTGGAATAGAAAGTTGCTTTTAAAGCTGCATGTAAGGCGCTTTTAACAATTCCTCCTTCCCACATAACAAACACCGGTGGACACGCTTGAGTTTCCTTCAGAAAGGATAAGTCAGCAGTGGATGACTCTGAGGAGGGGCAAAGGAAAGTCTTCAATCTACTGCATATCTTCCATACTGTGCACTCATCAAACTTCCTAACTATCGTTTCTGTGTATGTGGGGGTGGAGTGGGGGAAGAGAGAACAAACAAGAACTGAGAGTAGCTAACACTTAAAGGGCCCCACGCTGTGACATCACGCTGTGACATCACGCTGTGACATCAGGGTATCCTAAACATTAAGTCTCAAGACCCACTTCTCGCTTATGGGAAATACAGAAAAGAGGAAGCAGTTGAACAAGTCCAAAAGGTGGGGCAGAGAAAATAAATACTTGCTCCCTGTTTTCAACAAGAAAATGTCACAGGACAGATAAAAGTGGGATGGATTGGGAGAAATGTTCTATATTAAAGACCAAACATGATTCAACCAAACCTAGTATCTGGACTATGCTGGGAAGAATTGAGGACGCCTGTATATGAACTGGATAAAATATTAAGGGATCAGTGTGAATTTTGTTAGGTCTAATAATGGTCTTATCTCTGGAATCCTTATGTGGTGCTATAGGATAAGCACTGGACTGCTAACCACAAGGTCGGTAGTTTGAACCCACTAACTGCTCCTCAGAAACCCTATGCAGGGTCACTAAGAGTCGAAACTGACGTGATGGCACTTAATAACAATGATGATATTATGGTAATCTCAGAAAATGTCATATATATATATATATACATCTATATAAACATGCATATTTATGTACCTGGGAGAAAATGTCACTTTTTTAAAGTATTTGCAGCAAAAAATATTTAAGTGATGGCTATATTGTGATTTATTATACTTTTCAATTTTTTGTTTGCATTTTTATAATAGTAATTAAAAACATACATAGCAGAAAATACAACCTGTCAAAACCTAGTTTCTATTACCATCTTTAAAAAATAGGGTAACAGAAGTGTCTTTATCATAGTAAAATGCTATAAAAGACAAAAGTAGAAAACTACAATTTTCTGAATGTGATCAGGCTCGCATTTTCTGTCTCCTACGTTTCCTATGTTCACTATGCTAAGTTCCAGAAATAATTTACAATACCTACATTACAGCTTCCCAACTAAATTAGTGACAGCGACATCTTAGGTCCTTTTTTCCAAACCCATTTACTATAAAAGACATTTTCCTCTCACTCCCATGACTACATATTTACCCTTAAGACCCAACTTAAATACAAGGGGCCTTCAGAAACAGCTGATGGGAAAATGCCAGTATCTTTGAATGGCATTTTCCCATGAACCTTCGGAAGCCTGAGTCTGGCCCCCTTGAGGAGGCCTTTCCAGAACACACGACGCCATCACACTAAGTCAGCACTTTCTCCCCACACCATGATACTCCACACAATATAATGTGTATATGTAGAGAAGTACTGGACTGCTAACTGCAAGGTCAGTGGTTCAAATCTACCAGCTGCTCCTTGGAAATTCCATACACTGTATATAGCATACAGGATCGCTGAGTTGGAAGCAACTCAATGGCACTTAACAACAGTGTATGTTTGTGGGCTGTCCCTCACGTAGAAGCACACAAGAGCACACACATATACACAGACGGGCAAGTACACGTTTCAATACCACAAGACCTTGATGCTAAATTACAACTTTTAAAACTTGAGACCCAAATCAATTTTACTGCCAAGTACAGTTAGGGGAGCTGGAAAGCAGACATCCAGCAACGGAGGAGAAGCTCTCTTGATGAATATACTTTCATGAAATGTAAGTTCCCAGCAAAAAAGCATCAGCAAGTATTAAGAGAGGTGGGAAATAAAGAATATTTTTATTAGAGTGATTTAACAATATTGCGAGGGTGAGTCAAAAAATACTGCTACAAAATCATAACCACCTTTATTAAACAAAAATAGCAAAATGTCATACGATTGTGTTTTCACATAGTCTCCTATCTGCATCGAGACTTTTCTGAAGGCGGTCCTTCCACTCTCTAATGCTTCCTTAAAGAATTCTGTGTTCTCTGATTTCTAGGTCAGCCTCGAGGGACTGAAATCGTAGTCCTTTTAAAGGCTCTTTGAGTTTTGGAAACAAGAAATCTGAAGGGGGCAAGATCAGGGCTGTAGGGTGGAAGGGGTAAGGTTTGCCAAAGAAATTCTTGTAAGAATTCTTGTAAGAATTCATTATCATGGTGGGAAAAACAAATGCAAGAACCTCCTCAGTGCAAATTGGCCTTTTCTCAACAATTTTCCGTTTTCTTAAAACATCCTAATAAGCCGTTGTGACCACCCAGGGTCCTTCAAGAAAATTTCCCAAATCCAGAGGACACTCCCCATGATCTCCTGAGCCGATGCTTCCTTCTCTGCCTCGCACTTGGTGGGTACCCTTGGAAGTCGCTGGTTTGGCTGGATCAGTTTTGGAAGCCCGTAAATAGAACTAAGGCAGAGTACTGAGAAAACCTGGCTGCAGTCATCCACAGATCATGTTTAAACATGTTTGGTTTGGAACACACATACATGTAAGAAGAACCCCAGTTGCAGTCATTTTTGAGATGTCCTCATATACTCGTTCAGCAGTGTGGCTGCTACTGAGTTAGACCGAGCACTAGGTTATAGGGCCCTTTCCTCGTGCTGCTGGCTTCACCTGGGATGTTTCTCTTCATTTCCTGCCTGTTGAAAATTGTATGGCGGTTGGTGGTTATGTGCCGTGGAGTCAGAACTGACCCATAGTGACCCTGTACAGGGTTTCCGAGGCTCTAAATCTTTACGGAAGCAGAAAGCCTCATCTTTCTCCTGTGGAACAGCTGGTAGTTTCAAACTGCTGACCTTAAGGTTCACAGCCCGATTTGTAACCACTACGCTACCAGAGCTCATACACACTTCAAAATTCAGCATTTCTGAACTACCCCGGCCAAGAGTGAATTCATCCCTCACAATGGCAGCCAGAGTCAGTTTCTCACAGAGATGAATGCACACTTCTTGGAGAAGAGGCAGAATGGTGCTATGTGGAGCTTGGCTTTAGAGTTAGAGAGATCAGGGTTAAACCCAAGTTATTCATTTTCTAAGCACTGGGCTACTAACCCGAAAGTTGAAGGTTCAAGTTCACCCAGGGGAGTCTCTAAAGAAAGACCTGGTGATGTGCTTCTGAGTTCACAGCGATACAAACCTTGTGGGAACAACTCTATCCGGAAACACATGGGGCCACACAGGGTCAGAGGCAACTAAAGGGCAGTGGGTTTGGTTTTTTACTTTCCAGCTGTGGAACAAGGTCAAGAAAGGCAAGTCTTCTGCACGCCTACTGCAGTCTACTTCTCCCTGGCGCGGAAACGGTTGTCGTCAGGCGTCCCAGCTGTGAAGCAGTCTCCTGTGACCACTGGCGTCGGCCCAGGGTACTCAGCTGCCCCCCTGGTCCCTGGTTGAGGGCCTTTGGGGGACTCTTTCATGTCTGCTTGGGAACAGAGGTGCTTCTTATATGCTATCCATTGTTTTGATCATATTTTTGGTTTCAACTAGAAGGCAGTCACCAAAATTATCTAGTGAGATATCCACACATATATACAAAGGAGCTTCAAAATGTTTGTGGAAAATTCCTTTACTTCTATTCCATTTGAAGCCCCCTTGTCTAGAGAGTTAATGTAACTAACTGCCTTACCGGAACGTTACTGGGGGAAAGCTGTGCTCTCCATCTCAGGGTGAACCTAGGATGTCGGGATAATCTTCCTCCTGGTGTTTCGGGGAGGAGGGCAGCAGGGGAGACGCAAGGACGGAAGTGTCAGTTTTTATCTAGGGAATTTCCCTCAACTGCCTTTCCGAAAAGGAAACTTCGTGGCCCAGTGGGTTAGGCATTGGGCTGCTAGCCAAAACAAAAGGTCAGTAGTTTGAACCCACCAGCCACTTTCGTGGGGAAAAAATGGGGCAGTCTGGGTCTATAGATTAATTACAGGAATCTTCACATCAAGGATCAAACTATCCCCTCGGTATACAGGATTGATAGGGATGGGCAACTTAACACTGTGGTTACCTAAAATGTGTGTGGGGGGGGGCGGGGAGGGAGGGGAACTAAAAAGGCACAAAATGGCTGGCTTACAAGTTTTCAAGAGGGAGTTTAGTTTCAGAGTGTGTGTGGGAAGGTAGAATCCCCACTGAATAGGTTTCATCTTGTCTAAACGGGTCTGGTGAAAAGAGATGGAGATAAGATTCTTATTATTCAATAGCAATTATTATCATGACTAATTGTGACTGTCACAACTGTAAAGGTAGAAGTTTTGTAACAAGAAGGGGGGAGTATTGACTCTTACATTCCAGGAATAGAGGACCCTAGGGCCATCAAAGGAGAAGAGTATGAGCTGAATGCAGGACACTATCCAGAGAAGCAGAGACACCAGAGATGGAAGCAGAGATGAGGACATGGAGAGACCGAGCAGTTGAAGACTCTGGACTCATGGAAAGAGAAAGGCTGTGTGCTGGTGGCCAGGAGGCAGGCTTGCAGAATGTGTCCTTGGGCTGTTTAAATGATTATATATTCCTGAGTGTTTTGGTGTGTACATAAAGAACAAAAACAAAACACAAAGGGAATAGAAGCAATTACTGAATGATGATACACGATAGGATGAGTGCAAAATCAATATTCTCCCATGTAAACTATCACTGAATTCACAATAAAAGCTTAAAAAAAAAAAAAAAGATTAATTACAGCCTCAGAAACTCTCTGGGGTAGTTCCAGGCTGAGAACCCACTCAGTGGCAGTGGGTCAGACTTGGTTTGGGTGCCTCTGCCAAGCTTACTTGCCTTGGTAGAATTCTTTCTTGTTTGGAGAAGTAAAAGGTTCCTGGGATGTGATGGGTTTATTTCTCATAAAGTTTAGTATGTTTACAACTAAACAAATACCACAGTGGAAAAAGTATATACAATTTGAAGTATGCTCTTCGGAACCACTGTCTGGATCCTACAAAACCCAGCACCAGTGCAGGGATGCCCACAGCACGATGAAGACCCCAGAGGAAGCACAGTCGGCTCCTGCCACCGGCCGCGTCACATCGGCATCACTTGCTCTTCAGACAGGATGATTTGGGCTCACGCCTACAGGGAGACTTGTATCCAGGACTAGTGCAACAAGGAATACTGCTGACAGTACAATACGGTAAAATAAGACCCTTGAGAAGACATGCATTTGGTTGACCGTTTATTACATACACTACATCTGTGCCTTATTCTGGAGACTTTAAAGCCCTTCACACATGGGCTTATTAGTAAAAATGTATCTTATAGAAAACTGCCTGCAAAACGAAACTGAACACAAGAACGTACGCACAGCACACGTATCAGAGAAACTGTGGAAACGTTACGTGCTACTGAAGATGATCGTGTGCCACTGGGTGACTTGATTTCCTTCCATCTGGCACCCGACCCCGGTTTGCAGAGGGTCAGTGCTGAGCCGTGGCTGCAGCCATGTCTAGTGAGACAGGCAGCTTCCATCTAACACTGTCGGAGCAACAGGACAGGAGGAAGGCCTGCTGCTTTTTTCAGATCCTGTTCTACTCCCATCCTGTGAGCATTCCTGCTCCTACTGAGGGGAGTCACTGGGCAGGCGGATGAGGTCAAAGAGTCAACTCCTTTCAGAAACATACTGCAGTCTATTTACAAACCATGCAAAGGGCAATTGTAAGGAGGTGTTACTGCAGAACTGGCTAACAAGTGGGCACAGCGGAGTGACTGAAGAGACACCTTGGCTTCTGCACACCTAGGCCATCCCCTTCCTTGCTGGGAGAAATACATTTTCAGGGCATCGACTATAAAACGGCATACAATGCAGAGACAGAAACGAAGAAGTTTGCAAATTCTTTATATTTCTAGCTGTTGAGACCAATCTTTCTGAGAGCTGAGGTTACCTCTAGCGGCGAAACCACAGCCAGCTATTGAGCAGCCAGAAAGCGACTGTAATTGAATACATGAGCATTTCTCTTCGAGCTCGTTCTTTGTTCTCCTCCTCCAGAAGCTGTAGCCGTCTATTCAGTTTGATGATCTAAGTGAAAACAAAGCAAACACAAGTTTTAAAGCCCAGAGCAGAATCTTGCAAAGTGGTGTAACAATGTGTCAAAAAGAATGATTTGCCTAAGTACCCTTTCCTGCTTCCTGTCTCTCAATTTCTGAGTTAGAAAGGGAAAGTTCTGTACTTGACAGGACAGTCAGGTGGGGAAAATGGCTGCATACTGCTCTTTTGGTAGAAAAGACTAACTATATCCAAGGTGCTTCAAAAAGTTTGAAGGAAAAATGCCATCATCTTTAATTTCATTTTTCCACCAACTCTTTGAAGCCTCCCTGTATTTAGACGATGACAGCAGAACGAATAGTCCTTCGGTCCCTTCTGTGCCCTTCCATCGGCTCCCTACCTCTCTGCTTCTCCCACTGCTCTGAAGTACTAAGCGGGCCTCCAAAAGCAACTTACTGTCATGGGCTCTGGGATCTGGCCCCGACACCCTTCAGGACTGGAAGGTGAACTCCAGAGCTGATAGCAGCGTCTCTGGGAGACACCGTCCTTGACGGCTGGTCCTTATTGGGAACTGCCCTTGGCTGAACAACTCCTGCCCAAGCTATAGTCGCTTACTGGGCACAGCATGCATCCACTGACAGGTCACTGAGGGACTGAGAAGGCCAGGCCTCCCATCCGAACTGGGGACAACTCTGAAAGGTTGTCCCAGCTTCAGAACTCCTGGTGCAGTTGGCTACAAATTTGGTTTTGACTACATGGCAGCCCGGCGTCTCCCTCTTGCACTTGTGCTTCCTCTCCTGCGCCGAGAGCTGCTCATCATGAGCGTGCTCATCTCTCCTTCAGGGAAACCGCCTGCACCAGCAGGAACACATGAGGCGCTCTAGAAAGCGTAAGGGATTGCTATCATTGTATCAGAGAAGTAGAGGGAAATTACTGCCTAGTAAGAGAATAAAGTAACTCAGTTCAAGGTTTCCACAGGTGAGAAAAGGAGAAGGTGTGGGTAAGGAGCACAGTAAATCGGACACAGTGATGACTCTGCATTTGATCTCATTGAATACCTGTCGTCTTAAGGAAGCTGCGTCTACAACAGTCATGTCATCGGACGTTCCTTCAACTGTGGTGTCCATATTTGAAATGCCATACCTAACAGACAAGAAATAAAAATACAATTTAATATCGAACTAGAATAAAAAATAACTGGCAACTCATGTAACTCAAACAACTGTTCAAAGGACAGAATCTTCTACAGTGAATGACAGTTAGGGCGGCCTCGGATGACACTGCTGCTCATTACTGAGAACGTCTCCTGAAACTCTTAGAATGAGAACAAATTCTGACTCAAGACACTGTGACCTCAGGGAGACTGGTAAGGCTGCATGCCATGCTGGCTGCAGGGCAGAGAGCCGCACCGCCAGGACACCACAGGATACAATTCGGGCACAAACTTATGCTCACCTGTAAGCGTCGCAGGCTGCAGACTCCCTAACTGAAAACACAAAGACCCCAGACCAGACAGTTTTTAGGATCTCCCCTCCTCCTCCCACTGCCGTGTCTGTCATTTCTATGACAACTCCTGATTTCCAGGGACTTATTCTCTCCTGTGTTCTCCTACGCGGAAACTCCTTTCAACTCGGAATTGGCTCGAAAGAGGCTGCATATAAAATACCAATGCTCAAAGCCATGAAGACACAACCTAGAGAAGACACGTTAAACAACACTTTGCCTCACCCTCACATGCAGTTACTACTTCTGCAAGGGCCTGAGCTTCAAGGACAGGACGACAAGAACCTTTCGAGAAACAACTGTCACTCCCTCCTCCCCTTTGGCTGGATGGCCACATTTGATCCTTTTACTGAGATGCCATATACACACCAGACTTCACCTGCGTATCTGCTTTAGGGCCCAGACACTAATTCTGTTAGAAAGGCTTAGCACTCTTCTGAATGAGCAAACTCTACTCTGTGATCCACAGCGAGTAGGCACATGGGGACTCGGGACTGTACCAGTCAAGCAGGTCCCCATTATCACACACAGCCCACCCAAAGGGGCCAGGAGAGCTCTAGTTTTCATCCAGACTCGTTAAGGACAAGGTTCATCAAGCAACACTTTTCCTGTCTAGTAAGCTAACACCTGAGCTAATCATTGCTCTGATTATTTAAATAGAATTATTCAATAATTAATGACAGAAATAAGGGCTCAGGATTCCTCTTTCTCAACATGTCGTCTCAAATAAAGTGTTTCTAAGCACTTAACAAATACTCCTAATTATTTCTAAACAATTAGAAAACAGTAATAGATGGACTTGCTTCTCAGGTGAAAGTGACTTGGACTGAACATAGAGAATGAAGTATAAAGTAAATCAGATTATAATTTCAGTCTGGAATTAACTATGGTTTTAGATAATCTATAAAGAATATCTTCATTTGCTAAGAAATCTAAGGCTATGGCAAACTATTTTACCTATATAACTCATTTTGAAACAGGAAAAAAAAAAATTCCGTATTCACTGTGTTTTATACTAGTCTGTATTTACTGGCTGGAAATACTTTCACAGGAAGCTGAAAAGACCACAAGCGCAGAGAAGACTCCCAACGCAGCAAGTTAATACCGTCACTGGAGACAGGACAGCCGAGCGGCCAGGCGCAGCCTCACCACGAAGGAAGGAGCTCTGTGTGAATGAGAAACCCACGCTGGCCCTCCTCTCCGGTGCCTGTGGACTCCCATCGCAGACTGGTGATGCTGCCAGTTTACAATCTACTGCTCTAGAAAACACATTTCTGCTTCTTGTTGGTGTTAGATGCCATCGAGTCTGTACCGACCCATAGGACCTTATGCACAGAAGAACGAAACACTGGCCGATCCTGGGCCAACCTCACTACTGTTGCCTCGCTTGAGTCCATCAATGCTGCCACTTGGCTAATCCATCTCGCTGGGGGTCTACTGGCTCTGGAAACTTAACACCAATGGCACCCATCCACTTTTTTTCCCCCTCTTTTTTCAAATGATGGCAAAACTAACTAGGGATCTTGGCCCCTGAGAAACTTATGTATCTGTCTGTACAGACCGTTCCACCTGTCCTGGTGCATGACTGGCAGAGGTGGTCGCAGCAAAGCGTGAAAAGGGCCAAAACAAGGCAGAAGGCTCACAATAGCAAGTAGTGAAGACTCTTAAAACCACATTCTCTGTTTAAATGTTCAACTTTCTGCTGTTGGTATGTCAGTACTGACCCTCAGTTTAAGATGATGCCTTATAGGCAAGGGGCCCCAAAACACTAGAAGTTCATGGTAGACAATTAACAGCTAGAGACAGATTGAAAATGATGCACAGAGAACAAGGTTTATTTCCTGTGTTCTGCATTAACTCCTATTACTGCCAAGTGTAGTCAAGTAGGTTCTGACTTACAGTCAACCTGTATAGGGCTTCCGAGGAGCGGCTGGTGGGTCTGAACCACCGACTTTGTAGTTAGCAGTACAGCACTCATATTGAGTGGATTTGGAATCACAGCAACTCTGCCTGTGTAGGGTTTCTGAAGCTGTAAACTTTGACAGGAGAAAACAGCCTTATTTTTGTCCAACAGAGTGGCTGGTGGGTTTGAACCACCAACCTTGTGGTTATGAGTCAGGTGGTTGTCCTAGTACACCACTAGGGCTCCTGGGTTTACCCTATAAAGCCTATTAACAGAAAAATTTAAATAAAATATCTCCAAAGTCGCATGCCGTATCATAAATTATTACGGATTTTTCCTTCTACTATGTGACAAAATCTCCTAATGATCAGAATCCCCTTTTCTCACTGAGAAGTAGGAGTCAAAGGAAAGCTATGATATTTAGACAAGGCTACCACATGCACCTCAAAACAGACTCGGTCAGAGGTTCCCCGTGCTAGTTACAAAGACTCAGAATTTACCTGACGTTGTCATGATGAGGGTTAGAGGTGGCGGCAGCAGACCCACCACGCAACACAGGTCTAAGGCAGGTGAAGACAGAATCAGGGAACAGAGAAGTAGTAGAATAAAAGCAAAAACAAGACAAATCAATGTCAAATATGATTATATTGTATGTTTCAATACAATATAATATCTCGAAAATACTTTACAAATCTTTGTCTCCTATGTTTTCCATTTTCTGACTTCCAGAAAGTTCACAATATTACAACTGAGTACAAAGGACTCCAGATTGATGTCATAAAATCACACCAACGCAGAAAACAGCTTCACTCTGGCACTTATATTTTAATACATGAAATCTGAGACAGGGGACACCTTGTTAAAAATTTTCATCTCTCTCTTCTAGTTGGGGGGAAATCACTAGCAACTTGAGAAGCATGTCAAGAACCTAACAGTTACTTGAACCTGCATGATATCCTGGTTGCTCATCAGAAATCAGCAGCTCTACCCCAACACCACACACTCCTTTCCACCCACCCTGGTCATTCTGATCACTGCCTGCCTCTTGTCACCCTCATGGCTCAGGACTTCAAGCCCTGCCAGCCTCAGCTGTGGAGCTGAGAAGCTCAGCACGTTACAGACAGTGTTCTCCAGCCTGGAGGGGAGCCTGACCCTGAGATACAACCAGGGGTGACATTCAGGGCTGTGTTGGGAAACGCTGTGTCTCAGAACATACTCAGGTTCTAGAAGACCATCATCAGGTCTATCTAGATAGGCAGCTACCTCTCTAGTAATACATTTTCTCTTTTAAAATCATAAAACTATACTGACTAGTCCTTTTCCCCCAGAAGGAATCAGCAACATTTACTAATCTCAGAAAGGAAATACGGGTATAGGATACAGCCAAACACTTTGGGAACTATTGCATCTCTTTTGAGGCCCCATTCTCTAAGTAACAGATCTGGATTGGTCTGAATTTAGTTATCAAGGCAATTCTTAATTACAGAAAATGCTTAATACTAAATGTGCTCGATAATTTTCTATACATTGGCAAAGCTATCGAATTTTGATTACAAATCCTTGTTTTCTGACAAGTCACTTCATAAAAGAACATCTTAATGTTTAGCTTCTGTACTTCCTAAAGGCATTACCAGTATTTAAAGACATTTCTGGAGCTTAGAGGATGATAAAGGCCTCAGAGACTTTTGGGGGAGACACATCAGGGTCTTATTTTGTTGGCTCAAGAATCTTGAGAAGTCAGGGCTTAAACTCATCCTACATACTTGTAACGTGTTTCCTCTGTGGTACTAGGAAAACTTCCTTAACTACATACAATCCTATATTACACTGGCATGAGAATGGCTAACAGAGTCAAGCCACCACTAAGTGATAACCTACAGCTGAACAGGATCTGCAACACGCTACATATTCCACCACTGAGACTTCCCTTTTATAATGCAGAGCCAGAAAATAATACAGTTACCTTTCACAACGTATTTCATTTTGTCTTCTCACACTGGCAATTGACACATATAATATAAAAGCAAATTAGACAGGTATTTGGCAATATTTGAAAGTTCATTCAATTACCACTTTCTATCAGAAGTTATGATTTAATACATATTAAAAATATTTTAAGTTTTCTAAATAGTATGTTCTACGTATAATTAGAGCAGCAAAGGCTACAATTTAGCATCTTAGCTCGTTAGTATGTAGAATGTGTGTTTTTTTATATAAAAACAGAAACTGCTACAATAAATAGTTTGATTAGGAGACCAGAAATTATACAAGTGAGCTTTAAAAATTTCCTAGAAAAATTCCACTATCTTTTCATTCCGTTTTTCCATGAGCTTTCTGAAGTCCTTTCATATGTATTATTCATTTTTTGGGGAAAAAAAAAGACAAATCACAAACAACATACACTATATTAACTACAATTGTATTGCAAGGACTTCCAAATTACAGGTTTATAAGGATATCTGTAATAAATACAACTGCTTCATACAGTGATATCTTATTCTAGATATTCAACTAGTATAATCTATAAAACAAAAGAAATTATATAAAAATAATTTTGTTTCTGCTAAAAAAAAAACTTAAGTATACTAATCATGATTAGTCTGTTAATTTTTTTTTAAATCTTATATATAGATTAATCTTATGTATAGAAAGTAAATGTCTCATTTTGAATGATCGACATATTTCTGTCAATTGTTGAGCAAGGACCAAGGCATTTCTTAACCAGCCCAAAGCACATGGTAACAGTGGTTGAAACCCTTCTACCAGAGAGCAAACAAAGCCAGCTCAGGTACTTGCCCCAGATACTGGGGTGAAATTCCAGTACATCAGTTTTCCAAATGTATAGGACGGATCTGTGTGCACCAGCTTGGCTACTGCGAATCTAGGATTGAAATTTGCTTTCCTAATGAGCTTAGCCTGAATCATAGAGATTATCATGTAAGGAAATGAAAATTGAGTCTATACATTTTTTTCACAGTGTCCCTTAAAGTATAAAATAAAAATCATTCTCAGGTCAAGCAACTATGAAATGATGTTACTTTATAAGAAAGCAGGGAGAAAGCTTTTTTCTTTGTCTTTCTGCCAAACAGTTCTAGTTTAATTTAAATATGACTAGTGGGATGGCCAGAGCCCAAGGAGGAGAAATTGTCACATTAGCATAACAGCCAAAAGCAATAAAACAGAAAAGAGAAAAAATGAGGCACAGAGCAAAGAACATAAAAGCACTTAGAACTTTATAAGCAGTAGTAGTTTATAATCATGCAAATGGAACATTATCCAAATTTCACATTCCTATTTCTTGTGTCTAAAAAGTTTTCATTTAGTAAAAATACAAATTGATTTAGCACTTACAATTGCTGAATCTTGTCTAACATTTAGATCATAAGAGATTTCAATATAATGAAAAAAACAAAAAACCTTTCAATCGTGAGACCAACCAATTAAGACTGATAAGAATCTAAGCCTAGGTTCCAAGGTAGCAACTAGTAATACATACTCAGGATGAAAATATTATTTATAGAATTCCTTGTAAATTGGGCAAATGTTTCATTCTGTTGTATTTAGGGTCACTAAGTGTCGGAACTGACTCCATGACACCTAACAACAATACACTCCGAAAAATCTCATTAAAGCGATATAAAAAGACTACGCCTTCTCACTACAGATATTTTAATGTGACTAATTCATTGTTGTTGTTGTTATGTGCCGTGGAGTCGGTTCCGACCCACAGCGACCCTGTACAGGGTTTCCAAGGCTGTAAATCTATACGGGAGCAGAAAGCCTCATCTTTCTCCCGCGGAACAGCTGGGGTAGTTTGGAACTGCTGACCTTGCGGTTCGCAGCCCGATTTGTAACCACTACGATACCAGAGCTCCTATATTTATATACATGTAAACAGATAGGAGAAGACATCAAAAAGTTCATGGGAAAATCCCACTATCTTTTAACTCTACTTTTCCACAAACTTTTTGAAGTGACGACTCCGACCCCACCATGCTGAGCTTTGGCTCTGAAGGCCTTCTTCCACAGCTAAGGACTTCCCATGGGTGAAGCAGTGCCCATACAGGCGCATGAAGAAGCACACGCAGAGCCCGGGGTTTGTGGGTGGGTTAAACACATTCCCAAGAACAGTGTTGGTTCACAGCGAGCCAGAGGACGAATCAGTGCCTAAAACCTGAAACAAAGTGTACTGGGAGGGCCAGCTTACATGTCTTGGAAAGTCATTAAATTTCACCAATTAACAGTCTTAATAAAGTAATAATGAAAATCTACACACTGGCTCAGAGAGCCATGAAAAAGGAAATGTTCCGAGTTGAATGAAATGAGGCTGACTGTCCCTTTTCCACTGTACCCTGAAGCTCTCACACTGCTCCTCTTTCTTCATTTTGTAAAAACACACAAATAGATGAGGGGGCTTCAGGCTCATGGAAAAATGGAATTAGGGAGTTTTTCTACAGATTCTTTTGAAGCCCCCTCATAGTAGTAAAGCTTTAATTCCCAATGATACATGTAAAATACTACCTAGAAATGAAACAAGAACAAAAAGTGTTTGAAAGAATTGAATAAAAATGTACCAGTGTGAACAAATAAATATTAGTATGCTGCTAATGATTTTATCTGACGTTTAAAACTGAGATAAGTTATCAATAATGGGGACTATCATTAAATAAAAAAGCCAAGAGTATCTGGGATTTCCAATTCATGTCTGGGGATCCCTAAGTATGAAAACGGAAAAAATGTCCTGGTGGTTCTACTGGTATCGCCCTCTCAGATGTGCTTCCGAATTATTAGTCCACTCCTATAAATACGACAAATGATGAGATCCTAAGGAGAACTCAAACCCAGTATGCAGTCACCTGGCACCCCAAATCAAGCCAACAGTCTCTTTCAGCGTACCCCAAAGTGGAGTCAGGTCCTGAGGACAGGCTAGCAAAGTCAATGAACAAAAATGCTATATACCTTGTATACCGTTCGTAACCAGATGTTCTGACTGAAGGGAAGCTAACATCCCTAGTCTTGCGAAATGTGAATTTTGGACAATTATTTCATATTAAAAGAAAGCAAAGCAAGCTGTTTCAAACCATTGCATCTTAGCAAGAGACTAGAAGGTGAGCAGACATAAAAGGTAGACAGACATCACAGCCCACAAAGTAATGAGCCAAAAAGTAGGTAATCAAGCTGGCAAGAGTCACTGAGGGCCAATCACCTGCGGTTTTCCTCCAGCACATCCAAGATCTGCTGGTAAGCCCTACGCGTAGAAGACTGGATAAGGGACAAAATGCCGCGTGCGGAGGAGAGATTAGCTCCGTCTTCAGGAAACATATGGGGAAGGCAGACCCGAGCCTGCTGCGGAGATGGTGTCACACTGTTTACGGAGCACGCAAACGGAGAGAGAAAGATGCAAGTCAAATTCTCATACAACTTCAGCTGAGCACTTTCCACAAACATTTTAAGAAGGTTTTATAGTGTTTTGTCATTTTTTTCTTAATCCTTTCTCCCACCCTCCACTTTCCCCAAGAAAACAATCAAATCATTCAGAATTGCTTTCAAAACCAGCATCTGTAATGTTGTCGCTCTAAAATTCATAATAAACCAACAGAACATGAAAAGACTAGGTCTAGAGAGGGAAGACACCCGTAGCAATGGGTTTACTAGACTCGTAGTTTGGAGAAGCAGCATTTTTTATTTAGTGCAATACCGTCCACTTCGGGAAACCACACCACTAACCGACAACATGCACTGTAGCTTCTGGAAGGCGAGAAGAGCAGGGTGGAGGATTCAGGTCAGTAGGTGTCAGACAGTATAAATGCATGACTCAAGAGTGCATGCAGGAAAACGTCATTTCAAATACTTCCATTAGTGAATCAAGCAGAACTGACGAGGAATAAATGACAAGAATAACAATTTAAAGAAGAATTCAAGTGTCAGAAAACTAACAAAAGCACTGTGACTGGGTAATGAAGAGTAAGGCCTGTTTTCTCTATGACTGAAACATACCCCGACTCCCAGTTCACTGAGAGGAAGGCAAGGACGGTTCTGAAATTGTCCAGACAGCTATTAAACAATCACTGCTGGGGGTTTTGGTGAAGACATTCGTCGTCATTTTTGCTCTGGGTGGCTAAGAGTGACAGTTTCTCTGGCATCTGTGCCAGTGTTTTGTAATAACTGACCCCAGTTGAAGGAAGTCAGCCCTAACTTCCACTCTTTAGACTGGGTTCCAGATTCTCAGAGAGCTGCCTGACAGTTGGAGCATGATCAGCTAACAAACACACGGACTGGGCATCTGGCCTGTTACACGGTGAGGTTTTGGTTCAGTAAGAGGACAACAATGAAACAATGTCTTGATGATTCTGAGGGAGACAGAGAACAGACAGGGAAGCCATATTTTCCAAAGACCACCTATGTCCAGTCTTGGCACACTGACAGATCAATCTGGCAAAGCTGAGTAGCCAGAGGAGTTAGGTCTAATGGTGTCAAGATGAACTCCCAATTTTCGGATACAGGGTCATGGGTGGTTACTCTAAGTAAGTGTCCAGAGACAGAGTCTTCTGGAATACATGAAGGATTAAAAAAGTTCATGGAAAAATGGAATTAAAAAGATACTGGAATTTTCCAACACTTTTTGAAGAGACCCTTCATATAAAACAACTTATTAACTGACTCGTGGTACTTGGCAGAATCCGTACTGGGCCTTCCAAATCATACCTGGGATTGAGTCTATACAGTAACCCCGTGCTCACATTTCTCTTGAAGCAGCACAGGGACAACCTTGAAGCTCTTGCTCCTAGTGGGAAACCTGACTACGCATGAATTTAGAAAAGTCTCACTACCTGAAGGGACGAAAGCGGTACATTTTGCATCACTGTAAATATACAATCCATTGGAAAATTTCTTCTTGGTAGAGCTGTCAGCATACCTGCTTAAATTTATTTAAGCAAGTTTTAAAAGTTAGATCAATATACTATCTGCTGATATAATTGGAGTTTTTGTCTTTGCATCTTGGGGTGCAAATTGAACATGTTGCTTCTCGTTCTGTATTAGTATAAAATCTGTTGTTGTTGTTGAGTACCGCTGAGACAGTTCTGACTCATAATGACTCGATATAGGGTTTCCAAGGAGCAGCTGGTAAATCAAACCACCGACCCTGTGGGTCCAGTGCTTATCCTCCAGCACCACCCCAGGGCTCCAGTATATAAACTAGCTACACACTTCTATGTATATTTATACATAAAAGTCAGAATCAGTATTTACAATTACAATCTTAGAGCAACAATGTCAATGAGTGAAACACAAATCCATGAAAAAAAGTTTGATGGATTTTTGTCCATTAACAATCTTTAAATGGGTTACCCCCTTTGGGAGAAGTCATTTTTTCCAGGAAAAACAATTAGGAACTTATTTAAACTCTACAAAATCAAAGTACTTTTTGTCCAACTGACTCAACGGTACATAACAACATCTGTCCAAACGCTGTTGTTGTTAAGTGCTGTCCAGTCAGTTCTGATTCTTAGCAACCCTGTGTAGGGTTTCCAAGGAGCAGCTGGTCAGTATGAAGTGCCAAGCTTGTGGCTAGAGGTCCAATGGTTATCCTGGTACCACACCAGCACTGTCCAAACACAGAAAATTATAAAGTATTCAAGCATAAACTAACCTTAGATTAACGACAAATTTTTAAAATAGAATGTATAGGTGGTCACATTCTAAAACAAGACAGTAAAACCTCTCTGAATTCTAAGATTCTCTGATCATATGGAAGCAGAATGTTGCAACAAAAATGAAAACCATAAAAATGCTCTAAAAAAACCTCCTACAATCCTCGACTGTAACTTAATTTTAAAATTATATAAAATAATAAAACATGAAATGAAATCCTTATCAATAATAATACATGCATTTATTTCATCAAAGATGACCATTAACCACATTTGGATTTCTGGCTGTTTTTCAAAAGAAATTCAAGTTTTCAAAGATTGCTAAAGAATTTAACTTTTCTTCCATTTATATGACAATACTTCATGGCAGGAAAAACAGTTCAGAATCATTCTTTAAACTGGTAATACCACTTTTGACAGTGTATGTCTAAAGGACGGGCTCTTGATTAATATTCATGTCTACCTACTGACAAACTCAATGATTAAGTAAGTCACATAAGATGACAAATCTACCCCCAGTTAAAAGCAATAAATAATTTAGCACTTTTTCTTTCTTTTTTTTCTTTTTTAATGTATGCCATCTTGGAAGTCTGTTTACAAATAAATACTTTTAGGACCAAAAAAGGATCAAGGGTATTTGAGCAGGAAGTCTGCCCTTCACTGCCATGTCTGGCACCAAGTGTGGAGGGAAATGGCACTTTCAGAATGGAGTTTCTGTCTGTTTACCCTTCCCCACAATCCAGGCAAAAAGACTTGAGTTTTCAAAGCTTTGTTTCAACAAGTGAAGAATGAAAAAGTAAGCACACTGCTTGAGAGAGACATTCAGAAGACTATTGAAACAACTGTTCAACATTAGTAATAAAAATGCGCATTGATAAGAAACTGATTCTTAGTAATGTATCAAACAGCAACATCTCAACTTTACCTTTTTCTTTTACAAATAGTTTAGAAAAAGTTGAAGACAGAACCGTCTGACCGTGTTATTTCATTAGTAACGGCCATACATCAGGCCGTACACCTCATCGCATGAGTGATCAGTGAACGCTATGAGCCAATATCCAAACTCTAATTCAGATTAAGATCTATTTGGCATCATTAGAAGGTTAAGTCCACAATCAAGTACCTCTCTTTCCCCAGGAGTTCGCATAGGAACGACGTTTCTCAAACTGTGAGGGGAGCCTCTTTGGTGAGGCACTAGCCTCTTCCAAAAATGCAAACAGTCACGGAAGTACCAATTTTGTACTATTTCTCTTGAAATTTCAAATAACAGGCAATTTTATTTTGTTGTTACTTACTAATTTTCCTAGAAGCCAGAGAGAACCCGAAACAGAGAAAACACATTGGATGCCAGTCTGGCTTCCCCTGTTTCCATAACAACGTGGAATGGTACATGTCAATATAACTCCCTCCTGGGGTCAATCATCCCCACGTGCAGAAAGAATGGAAAGAATGATTTCAAAAGATTCTTTCAGGCATCATTTCAATTTATGAAATTAAAACAAAACAAAAAAACCCACAAATGGGCAACCCATACTTAAAAGACTCCATTCTCCTCCTGGCTGGATTAAAATGAAATTTAAAAAAATTAAAAAATAGTGTGTTAGAATTTTTTTTTAATTGGGATCTGGTTACATTGAATCAACAATGATGTAAAAGGCCAACCAAAGGGAATTAAAGACAATGGAAAAGAATGCTTGGTCCTGAGGTATACATTACTCCATTTTATTTTCACTCATACACCACAAATTATACCTAACTTTCTTTCATGGTCTAAGTTATTCTTTTTCTCAACAAAATGTATGCTGACAGTTTGAGGAATTCTGAAACAGAGGTACAAAATGTCAAATGATAAGAGAATTAGGGTATTGTATGCCAATTCCCTGGTGAACCAGATTAGTATAATGTTAAGTCTGTAAAGTTAACGCAGCTCCTACTTGCAAAAATCAGATCAGAAAAAAGCTTACGTGTACTCCGGTGCAGAAATCGGTGCCTGGAACCGGGACATTTTATTTCTTGGGGCAGAATCTGATCTGTGCCACCTTAAATAATAATTATGCTTCTTTTACATATTCAGCTTTGATTATCATAAAGAAAAAGCTAGATATGATTCTTCTGGTCAGAATGCCTTTCTGTGCCAATAAAAACCCAAACCAAACCCGTGACTACTGAGTCGATTCTGACTCATAGCAACTCTAGAGGACAAAGTAGAACCATCCCATGGGTTTCCAAGGCTGTAAATCTTAAAGGAGGCAGACTGACACATCTTTCTTCCCCAAAGTGCCCGAAGGCTGTGAACTGTCAACTGTGCAGTTAGCAGCCAAGTGCTCAACCACTGTGCCACCAGGGCTCCTTTTGAGCCAGTTAGTTGACAAGAACCAATCCTACTGCTCTTTAAAGACAACTGAGAGAACAAAGGTACGTGTTCCCACACTAAGCACTGCATGCATGTCTATTATTCAAGCCAAGGAATACGAGGAAGTGGAGGAAGGCAAAAGCTGATGCACAGTGAACATAATCCAGCTCTGGTTACAAAGACAAGACTCAGGCAGGGGAAGACAGTAAGAGTTTGATAATTACTTCAGCAGATGTAAAACAAGGTCATATTATATCAAGTTTCTCCCTAACCACAAGAACACTCAACACATAATACGCTCACCATACAAAAGTCCTAAAGCTAATGAAATGAAAATAGCCGATTCTAAATCTAAAAGATGAATTTAATTAGAAAGCATAAAATTAACAAAGGTAGGAAACCAGACAAAAACTACACTACAAACAAAAACAAAATATGCTTAAGTAAGTAATAAGCAAATCACTGTGAACACGACGGACAGTTAGTCAGGCTGTGCTCACTACCAAAAGTTGAGAAAACCCACAACGTAACAAAAGGTGAGATTTTCAGTCTGATTAATTGCTCAGAAAACGTCATGAAGACATTTAAAACGAAAAAAGGAACTGAAGTATGAGTTTGTACTGGTCAGCGATCCTTCCTGTTACGTGGAACTTATGCTACTGGGTAACTGCAAAGCCATCCATTAGGCAACCAGCTACTACCAGCTTCTCTGGGCTGGTTTACACAAACACCCGGACTACGTCTTTCTCAGCTGTCAGTACAGTCAAGCCTGTGAAAGAGGAAACCTGTCCGAGAAGGAAAATGCACACACTTTTCAAACTTAGACATAAACTATAGAAATCCAGTAAGATGGCCCCTTGTCAAAGGTAGACACTTGGAGAGACCCAGAACAAGGCAGTCTGGTGGCACTCTGGCCCTCACAGACTTCACTGTACTACTTTATGAGAAAAAAACAAAAGGGACACTATACTAAAACAGTCCTAGTTTATATTTGTTTGTGAACAAGACCTATCTAAATAAAAAAGGACCTAAATGAGTCACGTCTTAAACAGAAAATTCTGTCAAAAATCTTGTAAGAAATAAAGCTACTGTCATCCTAAAGGAGCCCCGATGGCTCAGCAGGTTCAGTGCCAGGCTGCTAACTAAAAGGTTGCCAATTCAAATCCACCAGCTGCTCTGCAAGAGAATGAGGAGCAGTCTGCTTCTGTAAAGATTCACAGCCTTGGAGTTCTTACAGAGCCGTTCTCCTCTACCGTGTGGGGTCGGAACTGACTCGACGATGGCAGGTTTATCTTCCTAGAGAAGCGGTTTCAAGACTCTCCAGGATATCAGAGCTGATCTACTCCTTCTTGACTGTAATGCAACAGAATTTCAATAAACCAAGTGAAGACGCTAGAAATGCACTGGTTGAGTTAAGTCACCAGGAAACTTTTTGAGAACAAGGATAAACAACCCAACCCCATTAAAGCCTCTTTTGTGTCCCTACACACTTTAGTCAGGTCCAAACTGGAACCTGCTATGTTGTTGTTGTTAAGTGGCGTCAAGTCGGTTCCAACTCATAGATAGAGACCCTGTATGGGGTTTCCAAGGAGCAGCTGGTGGGTTTGAACTGCTGACCTTGTGGTTGGAGTCCAGAACCTGCAATAATGTGATACAAATGACGTGACCGCACTGTGATCGGGCTAGGTGAACTGCATTTGCAAGCTCCAAGGCATGAGGCAGCAGCTCCTGGCACCCTCACTGTTTCCTGAGGAGCTCACATGATGCTTGGCATCACATGTGGTCCATGGCAAATTCATGAAAAACTAGGAAATGAAGAAATCAACATCTATTTCAAAAGGCTACTAACCACCTGTGTTTTGAAATGTTAAATTCTGACCAGTTTCAGAGAGAGATTTTACTTGTAAATTTCATTACTTTTAATAAAACCAAAAGTACTTCCTAATCTAAAACCCCTTAGAGAGGCAGCATTCAGATCTGGATATAATAATATAATCAAATGAAAACTAAAGTTTAAACAAACAACAAAGAAAAAAGAGACCTAAAAATTCTAAGAATCAGTAGGCAGCTAAGAAATACTCTTGGGAAATTAAAAAAGCAATCAATCTTCCTTTGCTATGTTGCTGATGAGGTTACACTTGGAGCAGCCAGAAAGGGTGGGCTCACAATCCTGGGGCAAACTGATGAACTTGACAGTAAAAGCATTCTACACGCTTTTTCCTTGGGACACCCCAGAAATGTTTGTTTATGTACAAGGTAAACATTCTTCAGGGTTCTGTCTAACTGAGCCCTTACACTTACCCCTTTGTCTAAACTCGACCTTCTGAGGGATCCTAACGACAGGTAGGTCATACACGTGACTATCATACACAAAGAAAAGGGTAATGCTACGGAAAAGGTTTCTCTACTAACGGAAAAAAAACAGAAAGCATCGAAAAAATGTAATATTGCTGTAATGTAAAACCGATTTGAAACACTATTGGAAGTCAACTGCTTAGGAAAGACAGATTCAGACAGTAGAGAGACAACCTGGGAAGGAGACACAACGCTGAGTGCTGTACTCACATGGAATCATTTCTGACCAGCTGTCCATTTTGGCGAACAGCATTTTCACTCATAGAGCGCTCTCTTTTTAGCCTGCCAACTGCCCGGATCTGTTAAGGCACAAAGGAAGAGAAGGGAATAGAACATTCTTAGTTGATTAGTAGCTGCTTGGCATCAGAAGAACCTCAATCCAAGGCTACTCACAAAATGTACAAAGAACATAACCAAGACACAGTCACAGAGAACTGCGGCCAGGCTGTGGATTATAAACATGTTTTAAAATCTCTACTTTTAATGTAGATAAACTCAGGAATCTTTATTTACTGGGTGGAGTATCAAGCTTATTTGGTACACTTAATAACCCCCGATTTCATATCACATATTTGTATTATTTTTAAGAAAAATTCATGTGAGTTTTTAGAGGCACATATACTATAGAAATGGGATGCATTTGTATTATAAATAAATGTTCTTGACTCCTAAGCTTACAACAAACTCAGATTTGATTGGCAATCTGAAAACTGGACCAAAAAAGGGTCTTTTTAGCTTAACAGTTGTGGCTACACTGAATCTCCTATGCCACACGCTTGTTTTCGGTAATGAACCTTTGACTTCCTCCCATTAAGAGATAAGACTACGCACCCTCCCTGAAGACTGGGGTCGCCCTTGGCTGCTGTAGAAGTGATGCACTGAGCCTTCTAAGGCTAAGTCATAAACAATCCGAGGATTTCCACGTTGGTTTCCAAGTGTAAGCCCAGGTGGTCACATGGAACAACTCTGTGATGTTCCCACCAACAAGCCCAGCTGAGGTCTCACCAATCCACACGTGAGGGAGCCCATGACGCCAGTCACGTCGAGGTTTCCCAGCCGAAGCCCCAGACAAGCGTAGAACAGAAACAAGCTTCCTATCCAGTGCCCTCTGCAAACTCCTGACCCACAAAACCCATAAGCAAAAATCGCTGTTGTTTGGCACCATTAGGCTTTAAGGTGGTTTGTCACACAGCAATAGAGAGCCAGAACAATGGTAATTATTACCTATCTTGCTTGTTTAGAAAATGCTTTTCTGAACTAGAAACAGTCATGGCAACCAATTAAAAAAAAAAAAAATCAAACTTCACCATTAAGAGCAACTGGTCTATGAGTCAAGCAAACCCTAAAACAGATTTAAAAATTCAGATTTGAAAAAATGCCAAAAGATAGTTACAGATTTTTTTTTCAGACATTAGATTCTCAGTGTATGCTGTAATTGGTAAGTGCCATCGGTTACGACCCATAGTAGCGACCCTGTATGGGGTTTCCGAGAAACAGATGGTGAGCTTGAACCGCAGACCTTGAGGTTCAAACTGACTTTACAATCCAGTGCATTAACCTACAACGCCACACCAGGGCCAGGACTCCATAGTTACATGGGAAGGGGGCTCCAAAAAGTTCCTGGAAAAACATCACTATCTTTTAATTCCATTTGTCCACAAACTTTTTGACACCTCCTTGTATGTATGTTGTTTACGACATATATTATGCAGTAAAAATGACCAAAATCCTCCTGAATGGGCTTATATACATCAAGCAACATCTGAGTATCCATAGAATCCTGGGCACATGAATGGCCTCCGGGCCTTTGTTCACCAGTCCTCAGGAGCTCTCCTCTGAAGAATCAGCATTCCCCACCTATACTTATCACTGTTTCAAAATAATAGTTCAGAGACATGAATCTCTGTATTGCCATGGGACTTTTATTAGATAAGAGAGAAATGTCGAGTTAACAATATGGGCAGAACATCTGGGGTGAAATGAATACCCCCTCCTTCTTTCTTCAAACAAGCTCTTGGTCCAAAATTTAAAATAACTATGGGAGAGCCTCCATCAAGATGGGAGGCAGACAGTTCACTAACAATCTGCAATATGCAGAAGATACAATCTTGCTTGCTGGAAGCAAAGAGGACTTAAAATACTGATGAAGATCAAAGAGCACAGCCTTCAGTATGGATTATTCCTCAGTGTAAAGAAAACAAAAACCCTCAGAACTGGACCAATAAATAACATGATAAATGCAGAGAAGACTGAAGTTGTCAAAGACTTCATTTTGCTCGGATCCACTATCGACACTCGTGGAAGCAGCAGGCAAGAAATCCAACGACATATTTATTGCGTGAGGCAAACCTGCTGCATAAGACCTCTTTCAAGTGTTCACTAGCAAAGCTAACAGTTTGAGGACAATTACTTCAGTATGCATGGGAAAGCTGGACAATGAGTAAGGAAAACTGGAGAAGAAATGATGCATTTGCATTATGGTGTTGGAGAAGAATATTCAAAGTACCACGGACTGCCAGAAGGACAAACAAATCTGTCTCGGAAGAAATAGAGCCAGAATGCTCCTTAGGAGCCAGGATGGCAAGACTTTATTTCTAAGCTCAGACATATTATTAAGAGAGCCCACTCCTGGAGGAGGACTTCATAAAAAGAAGCAAGATCCCCACTGACGCAGTGGCAGGAGCAAAAGGCTCCAATGTACCAATTGTGAGGGCGGGGCAGGACCAGGTCTGTTGTGCACAGGGGCGCTCTGAGTGGGAACCCACTGGACAGCACCTAACATCAACACTGGGGTGAGCAGCAGGCAGCTACTGTGGTGAATGGGAAACAGCGCATGTCAACAGTGAAGGGACCATACCTGTGCTAAGATTAACGAAAGTGAATGTACAAAGAACGGGCGAACGTGTCAGTCGTTCGTGGATGTATGCATACAATGTGTATACTTACATACACTTAAGTCCTTCTTTTTCTTCTACCCGTTCATCGTAGTCTCAGCTCCTCTTTCCACAGGTAAGGGGGCAGGAGTGGGAACTAAGCCAGCCATCAAACTGTGGTCAGATGCCCGCCCCTCAGCACCTTGATGTTCTGACCTGCAGGACCTTTTCCGTCCTCACTGAGGGCCTAGGAGTCCCCTTGCATTTGTTTTAGGGTGTGCCGTCTAGCTGGGTCACTGCTTACACTTCAGGTCAGCTACGGTCTGGCACTTCACACACTTAGGGTGGTCACGTCAACTGAACTGATCATCACACAGGTCTACTAATGCTTCTGGTATGGCTCCTAATGTGGTGTTGTAGGATAAGCATTGAACTACTAACCACAAGGTTGGCAGTTCAAACTCACCAGCCATTCCTTGAAAACCATACAGGGTCGTTAGGAGTCAGAACCAACTTGACAGCACTTAATTACAACAAAGCTTCTGGTAGACATTCATGCCTTTTGTGTCATCTGCCTTAGCCTGTAGGCTGTTTTTCATGTGGTTGTTAAAACACTGGACCGCAAAGTCAGTTTGAACCACAGATCGGCAGTTTAAGCTCACCAGCAACTCCTTGGAAACCTTACACAGGGTTGCTATGGGTGGGAACCGACTCCACAGCACTCCACAGCAAGCATATTTGATGACGCTGGACGTTCTAGTTGGATAGGTCCCTTGAGCTGTACAAGTAATACATAACTGCCGTAGAATCTGCCATTCTGTGGAGGTCATTTAATGGCAGCATCTGGATAAATGTTTGAATGCTCTGAAAACATACACCACCTTTCTTCTATTCATAAACTAGGTCAGGGTTCATGCTGCCCAACTGGTTTTACTTCTTCCCGCTCTTGTTAGGCTGCTGGTAGTTCATGCTCATGTCATGTCAAGTCTGTCTGTCTGCAGGCACCAGGCACCACTGTCCCTTCCAGAGTCTCCTATACATTCCCGGCTCCAGGGCATCCAGGGCAAAGCGGAAGAGAAGCAGTTAGTGCCAAAGACTCTTCCTGCTCATCCACACACCCCAATCAGAAAAGCATAGAGAGCTCTTGTGATTCAGGGCCACTGCAGCTTCATGTCGAGATGCGGTCCTGGCCCATTGCTGTATCTATCTGTCTCTGTAAGCTGAATCCCCCAGCAGTACTCTTGTCCTAGAGTCACTTTACAAATGTTGGTAGAGATTTGGCATATTGAAAGGACTCGTGTGTCTCCTCTCCACCAGCCAAGCCTCCAAAACGTGAGCTTCTTCATAGGTTCATTTGGGTTTCTTCACGTCAGTGGAAGAACTCCAGCGCTTGTTTCTGTTTTCAGACGAGTTTTACAGCCTTCCTCACAAACCTTCTGTCAGTCTCTTTCTGGACCTAAGCCAGTGTTTCTCACCCAGGTGAGCTTGTCTTCTTCCAGGGGAGGCCTGCCAATGTCTGAAGGCATTTACACACACACACATTCTCACCACTTTAAGGTGTGTAATCCAGTGGCATTCAGTACTCTCTTACAATGTTGTACAACCACTGCCACTATCTAGCTCCAGAACATTCTCAGCACCCCCAACAGGAAATCCTGTATCCAGAAAGCTGTCACTGCCAACTCTTCTCCCCACAGACTCTTGGCAACCAACCATCTACTTTCTGTCTCTATGGATTTGCCTCATCTGGATAATTCATATACAGAAAAGAGACCACGTATTACATGATCTTCTATGTCTAGCTTCCTTAACTTACCATAATCCCCAGTACTTCCTTCTTGTTTATGGCTGAAAAACACTCAACTATCTGAAGAGACCAGAGTTTGCCTACCCAGTCATCAGCTGACGGACGCCTGGGTTGTTTCTACCTTTTGATTATTGGAGACCGTTTTGATTGTCATGACTTGGGTGATGCTGCTGGGGCCTAGTAGAGATCAGGAATGCTGCGAAACCTCCTCCTACGCACAAGGTCAGTCCCCCAGAACCAAGAAAAGCCCGGGCTAAACTCTCAAGAACGCAGAGACCGCTGTGGAATTCAGAACATAGAATGCTTGTCATGGAGGGCCTGATTCTCGCTTGGCCTCCCACCTGACTGACTCTCGGTGGCACCTGAGGGAGTCATCCATATTCCCAGCACTCGCCTTGACTGTCTGCCTCCCCCAGTCCACTGCCATCACCTGCTGCCTCTCCGCCATCGCTTGCTGCTCCTCGGTCAGGGCCTCTTGCGGGCGTGGCCCTTCCACTGAAACCTGGAGGGGAGACCTTTCCTTTCCTGGGGCACCTGGGAGTCATCACCTTCCCAGCTCTTCACCAGGGCTCAGGATTTGGCTCCTGCCACAGGGCTTTAACTTTCTTAACAAATTTTACAAATACTGACAACATCTGACCAGGATTCAAATGTGCTTATTTAAATCAGCACGTTACTTGCATTAGTACGTTTAATTTTCACAATAATGTCATGCAGTTTGCATTATGCTTACCTTTATCTTACAGATGAGCCACTGACATGCTGCATAACTTGGCCAAAGTTACGTGGTTAGTAAGGGACAAGGTCATTATTGTTTCGACTCATAGCGACACTGTATAGGGCTTCCGAGGAGCAGCTGATTGGCTTAATCCACTGACCTTGCAGTTAATAACCCCATGTTTATCCTACAGCACCACACTAGGATTCCAAGTGGCAAAGCAGGCCTTAAAAATTAGGTCAAATTCTCAGTCTAGTGCTAACCACTTTAGGCATTTATTACATTCCACACTAAGCATCACAATACCAGGGGTGCTTTTCTCTCTGAAAAGGATGGTGTGAAGAGCGATTCGACTTCAAAGCCCTGTCCTAATGGCTAAGCATACACGCTCTGCACCGTCTCATACACGCTCGTGACACATGTCAGAAGTTGAGAAGCTGTAACTAGAGAGGTCACCATGGAGAAGCAGGTTCATAAGACGGGCTCTGAGCCAATGGCAGTGGCGAGATGGGAACTTCGTATGAAGTCCTGGTGTGGCGCTGTTGGATACGTTCTCAACCACAAGGTCATTCTGAACCACAAGGTCAACAGTTCAAAGTCACCAGCCCCTCTTCAGAAACCCTACAGAGTTGCTATGGGTCAGAACCAACTCGACTACACTTTACAACAATAACAAACCAGAATTCATAGTAATCTGCACTCCATATGAGAGGTTTTTATTACATTTATCAAAATTTAAACTGTGGCATTGTAGGATAAGCACTGGACTGCTAACCACAAGGTCAGCGTTCAAACCTACTATTCTCTCCTGGGAAATCCTATACAGGACTCGACAGCACTAACAATGGCTTCTCCGTTTCTGCTTTTGTCCATAGGATTTCAACTTCAGTTGAGGTTAAAACTCTGACTTACTTCTTCGTTTTGAGGGGTTGGGAGAGGCCTTTCTAAATCCAGGAAATCGAGTGGTCTTTCACTCAGAGTAAGTACACGAGGTGGGGTTTTCAGGGCGAGAGGCTTCAAGGGAGTAGACTGAATCAGATCGAGATCGGGCGGTCTTGAAAATGGAATGTCTTCATTATTTCCTGAGAGACAGAAAAACAAACAAGAAAACAGGAAGAGGGTCTAAAAAAGACATTGGTGTCATAAAACTGTATCCACGTTTTTCCACATTTGTATTATAACCGACCCAACAGCATCAGCACCATTAAAACGAAACTTTTAGCATGTTGTTGTTGTGAAGTGCCATCGATGTCAGTTCCGACCCATAGTGACCCTGGATAGGGTTTCCGAAGAGTTACTGGTGAGCTTGAACCGCCGAACTCGCAGTTCAAACGGCTTTGCAAGTTTGGCGCATTAACCCACAGAGCCATTTCACCAGTATTTACCATGGTCATGCTGAAATGAGAGAAAAACCTTCCCAGGGGCAGAGTCTCATCTTTCTCCCATGAGCGGCTGTGGGGCTTGGACTGCCAACCTTGTGGTTAGCAATCCAGTGCTTACCTTACAGAGCTACTGTGCTCCCGGCTCCCTATACATCTAAGAGGGAGCTCCAAAAAGTTAGTGGATAAATGGAAAGAAAAGATAGTGATACTTTTTCAGGAACTTTAGGTTGTTGGTTCCGACTCATAGCAACAGTATATGGTGCTTCCGAGAAGCTGCTGGTGAGCTTGAACCGCAGACCTTGCAGTTAAATCGACCTTGCAGTCCAGTGTATTATCCCACAGATGGTAGCCCTCTTATATTTAAGGGGAAAAAAAAAAGAAACCTGGTACCCAGTATACCTATAAATAACCTTTGTTGTTAAGTGCTGCAAAATTGGTTCCGACACAGAGAAACCCTGTATATTTAGGAAAACTGCCAAAGTTTTCATTAAAATACATAAAACAGACTGACCATATTTTTACACAAAAAATGAATGCTAGAAAGCCTACAACTCCCCTGTGCGTTATATGCGTGCACAAGCTGTTTACCTGAATGCATTATACACAAAGGAAAAGAAAAAACACAAACACAAACCAACCAACCAACCCGGCCATAGTCCACCTCAGCAATAAGCGGAAGATACCTGCAACAACAATCCTCTCCGGGACCTGCATTATCACACTAGTCGTGGGGGCGCCTTCTGGAAACCCTGGCTCCAGGTCTGCATTCGGTGGGGCTACTTTCAGTTTTTCTGGGACCCTCATTCGCTGACTGATACCTTCGGTGTATTCCATTTCATACTGAATCCGGTTAATTTCTGCCATCTCAGTAGCAGTGGGAGAAGGAAATGCTGCGCCGCTCACCCTGTGGACAACAGGGGTCAAGACAGGGGTGACTATGCATGAAAATGTCAGTCTCTTTGTAGTTAAGCTCGAAAGCAATACCTTCTAGAAAGAACAAAAGGACGCTTCTCACTGGCAAGTACTGAATCCACACAAAGGGAAAATAGACTTAAGAAAATATTTGCCTCAACACAATACCTTTTTATTGATCAGTGGCAATTTCACCAAGGACATCGCTTAGGAGCAAATTTTAAGAATTATTTTATAAACACGACACCAGTGTGGAGACAAACAAGACAGACCATCAGACACATACACACACTCTACATAAATGAACACGCATGCTGCTTGTAAATGCCTGAAGTAAAATTTCAAAAACATTAAAAATCTCCTAGTCAATTATTTGAGGGAAAGCTTCTAGGACTTTCTAAAAATGAAATAAAAAACTGCCTTCATGAATAAAAATGAGAAAATCTTTTAACGATGAAAATCAGATTCCTAAGCAATTATTGTTGTTGTTAAGTGCTGTGAGTCATTGCTGACTCACAGCGAATCTGTACAGGGTTTCTGAGGCTCTAAGTCTTTGTGGGAACAGAGGTGTCACCTATCTTCCATGGAGTGGCTGCCAGGCTCAAACTGTGCACCTTGTAGTTTGCAGTCTCCTTATCGTACAGAGCCACCCTGCTCCATGTAAATATGATTGATTCCAAATGTGCTCAAAAGGAAAACGCAACCCCCAGAAAAGTCACGAGATACAAATTCAAATTTCTCTAATTACATTTCTATCTCATGACTGAGACACCAATGCCACACTTGGATGAACAAATCCTTCAAGGGAGGTGCTCATCTTTGGAGGAGCGGGAAACTTTACATGACTCATTTACACTTGATAGAATATGTACTTGGGAGATTAAAACAAGAAAGGAAAAAGCAGCCATGTGACATGCTTTTAGAGGAAGCCAGGGCAAAGGCACTGAGTGCTCGTCTCAATGAGAGAGGGACCCATGCTCCCAGGAAGTGCAGGAGTAGAAAGAACGCTGCCCCCCAAACGGAATGGTGGGGCCAAGGCAATCGGCCACAATGCCACTCCCGCTCAGACCTAGAGTACAGCTCACCTGAAGAAAACGTCACTGACCTTCCTAGTGGTACGTCACTGCTTGTTCTCTTACTCATGTTTAACAGTACAGTAAAGACACGTCTACAAAGCTAGGACCACACTGCTACCCTGCAGTTCAGCTTACTGACTCAACTCTCCTATAGATCTGAACACTTTGTGGAGGCGGACATGACAACACGGACAACTGCTTTTCCAGCTGTAAAAAAGAAAGAATACAATCAGGATTTCAAAAGCTCATTTCAGAAAAAAACATCAATACAAGTAAATGAAAAATTCGTTTGGGACTTAAGCATGGCTTGGAGGGCTTACTCTGAGAAACCTAGTTGCAAATCTTTCTGAACAGAGCTCTTCTATAGCTCCATGATCATAAAGACTGCTTTTGGATTTTACAAGTAAGAAAAGAAAAGTTGTATCAAATACATGGGCAGACGTGACCTTAGGCTAGAAAAAAACAACCCTCTGCTCCTTTCATCATATTCTGAAGAGAAAAAGGAAACTTTTTAAAACAAAGTACAAATAAGGAAATCAAGAAGAAAATTCAAAGGGTCAAAGTAAATATATTTGAGGCACTGTAAATTTTTGATGTGGAAGTCATGATAACCTAAAAAGGAAATAACTTTGAAAATCAAATTATACTACATTGGCAGCAAAAGATTCTACATATAAACCAAATGGCAATATGACTCTCTTTCAGAGACAGTGTAAGTCATAGCTAGGATATGTTGCAGATGTATTATATTTTTTAAACTCCACTTTAAGGAGATGCTGAGGAAAATCCTGACAGGTCACTTAAGACTTTGCTCTGACAACTGGTAGATTATAACTTCTGACTTGCTTCTTTTATTCTTTACCAAAATGCTATGAATTTTCAATTTACCAAAATGTAAGAATTTTAAAGATTCAGTACGCAGATGAGATGGTTTAAAGACTAAGAGCTAAAATAAGAAGACAATTTTTACTCACAAATGTGTAACAGCTACTGCTTGCTATTTGCCACTATCTGCTTCTGTGCTTCATAGTAAATCCTTTCACTTGCTTCAATGGGCGTGTGCTGGATTTAGAGCCACTTGAGTTCCTGGGAGAGAAAAAGCAGGGGCTAATTGAGAGACTGGACGCTACCAATATTAGGGAATCATCGTTGGAAATGTTCCAAATGGTAACAGTAACATAAAAAGCACAACCTGACATTCAGAAACCAGTAGAAGAATAAAGAAAGAAAAAAAGGTCTTACTAATTTTAGTTATAGACAGTGCCCCCACAACTTTCATTGTTGTTGTTGTTATGTGACGTTGAATCAGTTGTGACTCATAGGGACCCCATATAGGGTTTCCGAGGAGCGGCTGGTGAATTTGAATCGCCAGCCCTTGCGGTTCAAACCACCTTGTTGTCCAGTGCATTAGCTCACAGCGCCACACCAGGACTCCATTACTGATAGCCCTCCTTTAAAAAACCATGCAGATATGTTTAATGCAGAACTCAGGAGAGATGAAAACCACTGGGTTACCAAACAAATAGAAAACCAAGTTGATTGCGATTCACAGCGACCCTAGAGGACAGAGCAGAAGTGCTTTGTAGGCTGAGGCTCACCTCACAGGTAGTAACCCAATGCTTACCAAACTGTACCACCAGGGCACTTTTTCATTATGTAAGACAGGATAAAAGACAACCTGTGTCATCATTTCCAAACTGCATTCAGAAAACAGCAGCAATTTATAATATATGTAAGGTTAAAAATAATCGTATTTATGTGCATCAATACATATGCATTTACATGTAATTATATATTGATGGTGGTGGTTGTGAGCCATCCAGTGGGTCCTGACACACAGTAACCCTGATTAGGGTTTCTGAGACTGTAAATCTTTACAGGAGCAGAAAGCCTCCTTGGTCCTGTAAAAACAGGTAAATCTGAACTGCTGATCTTGCAGTTAATAGTCCAGCTTTAAATATGTATTTGTAGTGAAGTGCCGTTGAGTCCGTTCTAACCCATAGTGACCCTGTATAGGGTTTCTGAGGAGCAGCTGGTGAGCTTGAACCATTCACCTTGCAGTTTAAACAGCTTTGTAGTCTGGCACATTAACCCACAGCACCACACCAGGAACTCCAAATATATACTGTTGTTGTTGTGAAGTGCTGTTGAGTCAATTCCGACCCATAACGACCCTTTATAGGGTTTTCAAGGAGCAGCTGATGAGCGTGTACCACCAACCTTGCAGTTCAAAACACGTTGCAGTCTGGCGCATTAGCCCACAGCGTCACACCATTATAAGGTACTAATTTATAATCTGTTAAATTTTCATTAACTTAGAATGTATATAATTTGGTCCAGTAATATAAGCATCCATCACTCGACTCAGCTTGTCATACTTTTATGACTTGCATGTTGCTGTGATTATGGAAACTATGTCATTGATATTTTAAATATCAGCAGGGTCAGCCATGGTGAACAGGTTTCAGCTGAGCTTCCAGACTCAGACTGGCAAGGAGGAGAAACAGACGACTTCTGAATATTCAGCCACTTAAAACCTTATAAATAGCAGTGGAGCACTGTCAGAAAGCACCAGGATACTGAATACCGAAACATGATGAAGAGCACAAGAATACTATCAGATACTGTTGTTATTGTTGTTAGGTGCTGAGTCGGTACCAACCCATAATGACCTTATGCACAGCAGAATGAAACACTGCCCGATCCTGGGCCAACCTCACTACTATTGCCACGCTGGAGTCCATCGATGCTGCCACTTGGCCAATCTGTCTTGTTGGAGGTCTTTCTCTTTTTCTCCGACCCTCCACCTTACCAAACATGATATCCTTCTCCTGCAACTGGTCCCTCCTGACAATATGTCCAAAGTATGACAGACGAAGTTTGGCCATCTTGGCCTCCAAGGAGCACTCTGGCTGCACTTCTTCCAACATGGATCTATTGGTTCTTTTGGCAGCCCATGGCACTTTCAAATGTTCCTCCAGCACCATAATTCAAAAGCGTCAATTCTTCTACGGTCTTCCTTAGTCACTGTCCAGCTTTCACATGCATATGAGGTTACTGAAATACCATAGCTTGGGTCAGGTGCACCCTAGTCCTCAAGCTGACATCTTTGCTCTTCAACACTTTCATCCTCCAATCCTGATGCCATGTTTTTCTTCATATAAATCAGCTTCTCAGATTATTTGCTCAGCATATAGGTTGAATAGGTATGGTGAAAGAATACAACCTTGTTGCATACCTTTTTAAAATTTTAAACCATTCAGTGTTCCCATGTTCTGTTCAAACAACTGCTTCTTGGTCCAGGTACAGATTCCTCATGAGCACAATTAAATGTTCCAGAATACTCATACTTCGCAATGTTGTCCATAGCTTGTCATGATCCACACAGTCAAAAGCCTTTGCGTAGTCAATAAAGCACAGGTAAACATCTTTCTAATATTCTCTGCTTTCAGCCAAGATCCATCGGACATCAGCAATGATATTCCTTGTTCCTTGGCTTCTTCTGAATCCAGCTTGAACCTCTGGAGGTTCTCTGTCAATGTATGATTGCAGCCGTCTGTATTACCTTTAGCAAAGGTATTTGTTGTTGTTGTTAAGTGCCGTTGAGTCAATCCCAACCCATAGCGACCCTGTGTAGGGTTTCCGAAGAGCAGCTGGTGAGCATGAACTGCCAACCTTGCAGTTCAATCGGCTTTGCAGTCTGGTGCATTAACCCACAGTGCCACACCAGGACTCCAGAAAATGAGCCCATCAGGTGGGAAGACACTCAAATTATGACTGGGAAAGAGTTGTCTCCTCAAAGTACCGTTGACCGTGGTGCTAAGAATGGAGTAAAACCCTTGGGACCTTCATCTGCTGATGGGGCACAACTCAAAACAAAGGAAAACAACTGGAAACCCATTAATAATCAGAACAAGGAATGAACAATGTACGAAGACAGGATATTGGACGTTATAAAAAATGTAACACATAAACATTGATATCCTAGGCATTAATGAGCTGAAATGGACTAGGACTGGCCATTCTGAATCTCACAATCACATGGTTTACTATGCCAGGAATGACAAAATGAATGGTGTCCCATTAAAAATCAAAAAGAACATTTCAAGATCTATCTTGAAGTGCAATGCTGTCTGTGATAGGATAATATCCATATTCCTACGACAAGTCCAGTAAATACCACTGTTAACAAAGTAAGTGATGATGAAACTAAAGAATTCTACCAACTTCTTCAGTCTGAAATTGATCAAAAATGCAATCAAGATGTATTGGTAATTACTAGTGATTGGAATGTAAAGGTTGGAAAGAAAGAGGACGACTCAGTAGTTGGAAAATATGGCCTTGGTGATAGAAATGATGCTGGAGATCACAGGATAGTATATTGCAAGACTAAAGACTTCTTCATTGCAGATATCTATTTAAAACAACATAAAAGATGACTGACTATTAAACATGGATCTTACCAGATTGAATACACAGAAAAAAAACTGACTACATCTGTGGAAAGAGATGGTGGAAAAGTTCCATATCCTCAGCCAAAACAAGGCCAAGGGCAGGCTGTGGAACAGACTCTCAATTCCTCAAATGTAAGTTTCAGGCTTAAGCTGAAGAAAATTAAAATACATTCACAAGAGCCAAAATATGTATGACCTTGAACATAGCCCAGATCTGAATTTAGAGATCATCTCAAGAATATAATCGATAAATTAGAATCTAATGACCAAAGACCAGAAGAATTGTGGGATGACATCAACAACATCACACAGGAAGAAAGAAAAAGTCATAAAGAAGACAAGAAAGAAGGAAAATACCAAAATGGATGTTAGAAGACACACTGAAACTTGCTCTCCAGCATAGGGATACAAAGCAAATGGAAGAAATGAGGATGTAAAAGAGCTGAACAGAATATTTCAAAGGGCAACTGGAGAAGACATAGTCAAATATTATAATGAAATGTGCAAAGACCTGGAGTGAGAACACCAAAAGGGAAGTACACACTCTGTATTTCTCAAGCTGAGGGAACTGAAAAAAAATAAATTAATTAAATCAAATTTTAAGCTCCAACTTGCAATACTAAAGGATTCTACGGGCAAAATATTTAATGATGTAGAAAACATCAAAAGACGACAGAAGGAATACCCAGATTCACTGTACCATAAAGAAATGGTTGATGTTCTACCATTTCAAGAGGTAGATTATGATCAACGGCCAATGATAGTGAAGAAGTAAATCCAAGGTGCACTGAAGGCATGTCAAAGAAAAAGGCTCTAGGAATTGATGGAAAACAAAGAAATTTAAAAGACAAATACCAGTCCAACTGACTGGAAGAGAACCCTACACATACCCATTCCAAAGAGAGGTGGCAAAACAGAATAATGCAATCATCGGACAATATCATTAATACCACATGCAAGTGAAACTGTGCTTAAGATAATTTAAAAATGGCTGCAACAGTACATTGACAGGGAATTTCCACAGGTTCAAGCTGGATTCAGAAGAGGATGTGGAACGAGAGATATCACTGCTGATGTCAAATGGATCTTGGCTGAAAGCAGAGACTATCAGAAAGATGTTTACCTGTGTTTTATTGACTATGCAAAGGCTTTCAATAATGGGGATCATGACAAGCTATGCATAACATTGTGAAACATGAGTATTATGGAACACTTAATTGTGCTCATGAGGAACCTGTACATAGACCAAGAGGCAACTGTTAGAACAGAACAAGGAACCACTGAATGGTTTAAAATTAGGAAAGGTGTGCGACAGGGTTGTATTCTTTCACCATACTTATTCAATCTTTATGCTGAGCAAAAAACCACGGCAACAGGATTGAAGGAAAATTCATTAACAACCTGTAATATGCAGATGATACAACCTTGCATGCTGAAAGTGAAGAGGACTTAAAAATACTTACAGTGACGTTCAAAGACCACAGCCTTCAGCATGAGTTGCACCTCAATGTAAAAAACAAAAATCCTCACCACTGGACCAATAAATAACATCAAGATAAATGGAGAAAAGATTGAAGTTGTCAAAAACTTCATTTTGCTCCGATCAACCCTCATGGAAGCAGCAGTCAAGAA